ATCGTTAATTTTTAATATTAATAGATGAACATATTGTATTATTTACGTCGTAATGATGGTTAGGTAGAAGGTTCATGATTGGACATTCGCAAAAGTAAGAGTTGCAGCAGACTTGGGGTAAACTGTATCTCAGTAAGATACTGGTAAGGGTCTTGACCGTGATTGCGGGATTGCTCTCATAGCAATCAGTCTTTCCTTCCTTGTTGAGCCAGCAGCTCAACATATGTTGTTACATACCCCGTGTTTTTACATACTAGCGGCCGTTTACAACGGCTCATTCATTGAGTTAGCTAGTCCAACTCTGCCTGTTTATCCGTATGTATCAATATTGGTCGAGGGCAGGGGCCATAGTGTTTCCATAGCTACATAATTTCCTGGCATATTGCACAATAGTCCTGCATCAATCGGCAATTGTCCTGAGATGCACTTACATAGTGCATAAGAGGATTATTTCCGGTTGCTGGTGTGTTATTTTATATACATTAAACCATAATTTGAAACGAGTTCTGTAATTATTTAATTTAGTAACATTATTAACTAATGTCATTGTCGTTCGAATTTATCCGTGGAATTTATGGAGGAATAATGGGTCTAAAATTCGAATACTTACGCGAATAAGTGTATAGTCTATGGTTCGAATCTTTCATAGAAGTTGGTAACACCGACCACAGCTGTTAGCGTGTCGAAGTGTTTATTTGAAGTATTTTGTGTTAATTTGTTACAAAATTTACTTTTCTATTTAAACTAACGAATTCAAACCGAAAATGAATTCGTTTGATTATGCGCTAAAATTTAAAAAAGAGTTATTGATTTCGGGAAAATATAGAATAATTAGAAGAATAGGTGGTGGATCATTTGGAGATATTTATTTGGGAATAAACATTGCAAATGGCGAGGTAAGTGGTGATTTTTTGATATACTATCAGCTACTGGCCAGATACTCCGAATGCACTTAAGTTTCAAGTGATTTTTAAGTGTTTGGGCAATGGAAGTTGTAGTAAAAGTATTCGTATGCAAAGGGCGTCTGAATGTTAACCTAGATTCGTTTGGATCACACTTTTATCAATTTATTCTTAGTAACATCACGAAGGTGTCGCTGATTGTTATGCCATACGACCGTGGCAGTGAATTCTAGCTGCCACTAGTCTGTTTGTTGTGAAAATTGTATTCAGCATTCAAGATAAAGCTTTTAAGATTGTAAAATTTGTACATGCACAGATGGCTATACAACAATAACTGAATTATATGTAATTTAAAATTGTTTCTAGACAACTATAGATTAATTATTTACACCTTCTTTTTGCATGAATCCATGCTTTTTAGGCATATGCATAGGTTACAGTTACAGTAACTGATGTAGATTTAGTTACCAAACATAACATCTCAAATTATAGTAAATTCTCACAGTTTTTTAAATGATTTTAGTATGTAATTTTATTTACTACATAATGTAGAAGTCATTTGGATGTGGCTTACATGTAAGATATTTTTTAAGCATCCTGTTTATACTTGTGACTCAGTATCTGCAGTATTTCAATGATAAGAATACATGTGAAAGTACTAGAAGTTTTCAGACTAAGACAAGATTACTTGAATTCTTGTCTAAGAGGATCGGAGTCCGTAGTAAAAATATGAAAATATACTATTACAGACAAAAAACGATGTATATTTTTACTGTTTTTTAAAGTAAAAGTAAAAAGAGATATCTATGTTTTAAAAGAAATTCATCTTTGCCGATGTCAATGGGGGAAAGTGCCCAGAAGGCTGGCAGCATTACCACATTGTTTGTCACTGCTCATGTTTGAAGAACAAACCAGAACTTGAGAAGAAATTGTAAACTCAGAAGCGCTTTAAGAATTGTGAACAATGTGAACTTAAAGTCACCAACTTCTTAGTCTCATCTCAACCCCAAATAACTCAAAAGAATAATTACCAGTAAGGTAATTATGTTTACTACTCAAGATACATTTGTGCCGTTTCATATTTACTGCTGTTTTCTTCATTTCATGCCAAATTAAACAGTAAAAAGACTAATACTTTAATGCGCAATTTTGTAGTTTAATATGAATATTAAAAATTGGATTAAGCATTCTCCTCAGTAAAAATATATTCCTTCTAAATTACAATACAATTAAAGATTTAAAACTAATCGTATTTCATTGATTGTTTTTACAAAATACTTATTATTGAGTTACATTAAAAGAAAAAAGTATGTTTGACGTAAAAATATGATGACGTCACAAGCCAAAATAATATCAATAGTCCGTATTTGACATTTCGTTAAAAGTTTTCTGACTACATAGTTCTTTGCCGAATACAGTTTTACAAAACTAAACTATGATTATTAGTTATTATTTTTGTATAAACCCGATAAATTTGAAATCAAAATATTTGGGAAAAACTCTGGTTAATGTTAATTATTTCCACTTTTTCTAATTTTTTACGTAAAATTTCTACCAAATGGTAAAATTGACGTATTTCAGAACTGGCAACATTAAATGTAATGGCATGGCTACGTTTAGAAACTAGATGTTTTTATCAATGGATTATGTTAACTTAACTCCATAGATTATTTATTTTAATTTTATAAAAAGCTGAATTTATAAGTATCAGACACATGTTGCGTTTAAACGATTCATACTAATTTTAAAAATATTTCTTGTTTTATTTAGGACTCTTTTGAGACAGAAATGTTTTATATTCTAATCGAAAGAAAGCACTGATGGCGAGTGGCCTACTTTTTGAACGCAACTCTTCCTCCATTCAGTCAGTTTCTTAAAATGTAGCCGTGAATTTATTATTATTTTTATTCTAAAAGCGCGTAACTTGTGCTTTCGATTCATATTTATAAGTACCAGGACGATTATAATAAATCTGCAATCATGTCTTTTTTAAGTTCACGGAAGGAAATGTTAATAAATGAAAGATATAATGTGTTGAAAAAAATCGGTGGTGGATCTTTTGGTGATATTTATTTAGCGATCAACGCCGCGAATGGCCAGGTAACGTGATTTACTACATATATTTTATATGTTTAGCATTCCATGATTAGCTTTCGTAACATTGTGAAGGCTCACGCGTCATCGATGGCACACTAATGCAGGGAGAGGGGGAGCATGTTTATTATTTTCTGTGACGTACTAAATAGGGAAATAAAGATTGGGTATTGATATGATATTTCCAGGGTCGATGGAGATTGTATGACTTATCTATTCTCCAACTTTGAACATATTTTAATTGAACACACATAATCCTAAAATAGTTTTTCCATGCAGGTATTAAGTGTTCCAAAATTTGATCCTAAATCGCGTTTTTTAGCTTTCACCTTTCAGAAAATGACTAAAACCTTTCAGAAATGACCTGCTACTGTAGATCATGTGGAGTCCTTATTAGTTTACCACGAAATACTAATTTAAATCATAATGTGTACACTGTCATTTGTAAATACATGGCTTTGGTAACATTCTATGATACTGGCAGGCTTTAAAATTCACTTATTCTACCTTTATGCTAAAGTCTGAGCAGAATAAACATAAAACTGTCAAAGAAATTAATTCTGAGGCTAAAACAAAAATATCTGTTTGTGACCTTGGATAAAACTAGACTATTAGGTCACTGTCTAGTGTAGTAAAAAAATAGTACAATAATGTAGTTTGAATTCTGCCATTTGTTATTGTTCTGTTGAATAGTAAATAGTAATAAGAAATAAAGGAAGTATTTATAAGAAAGCTTTCTTATGGTGCCAGAAGCACTAAAAACTTTATTTTTGCTGTTTATTAACATTCTCACTTGATTCACTCTCATTTCTTATTTGTGTGGTCCTATTGATTAAAGCGTAATGTATACATACTAGTATATCATTAAACCTCCCTTCATAAGTAGACCATCCAACATAAAATGATTTTTTTCTATTGCAACCAACACTTTTGTCATCAAATCATCATCAAACAAATACTATTCAGCTTTTTAAAATTCATACAGATTGCTTACAAAAAGTGAGGTGCTATTACTGGCTGTTTATTTTTTGTTCATGATGTGTGAACATTACAGATTTTTAAAAATAATGTATGTTAAAAATAGCTATACAACTTTGAAGAAAGTTGTAGTCTAATAATATGCCATAAAATAAACTATGAGGCTTCAGAGCTAAGCTATTTACAGGACAACTTGCACCCTACAGGAGCTTAAAACACCCTTATCAAACTTCTCAAGAGCTAAATGATAATACCATTAAAATCCACTTTGTTTTTATGGACTTCAGTTCACATGTTAAGTAAGTTAATTAAATCACACAGAAAATTATATACTGAAACCTAGTTTGCCATTTTTTACTAGCTTAGACCAAATAAAAAAAAAACACTAGTAACATGTTAATATTGTGCTTTTATAATATTCACACATTATCAGGTAGGGGTTCAACAGATATTAATTAATACAAAATAACTGTATCAAACATTCACAGTGTCATGAAGATTTTAACTTTCATCAGTAACAAGTCTATCTAAATATATTTATCATGTTGCTGATATCATGCCTTATCTCTTTTTTATTTGCAAAACACTGTGTAATGTATTTTGTAGTCACTGTCGCAAATAGCCCTTATTTAGATTGTTTAAATTAATGCTAATGAATGAGATGTTCTTTAATATTCATTTGATTCCTTGAAATTATTGGGTCATAAATGAGAAGATTTACTAATCATAAATATGTAATTAAAACTCAAAATATTTACTAAAATTCATATCACTACATAGTATAACACAAAGTCGCTACCTATTTAATTTTCTTTGTGTATGCATCCAATCATTGATACTAAACAATGAATTTGGATGAGATTTTTTAAATGGATAAAGTGAGTGTCTATTGTCATATAAATGATTTAATTTTTTTGCTTCTATCAATCGCAGTCATTTTAACCATTTTAACCAGCATTATCCTTATGCAATTAAGTACATTCTTGATTTCATATTAGATCTATGTGGCCCTTTATGGCATATAGTATTACATTGAACATTTCCAAGTGACAGGCTATACTAAATATCATTTGTTTTTTTATTCAACGTTCATATTTTCTATAGTGTATTTAGTATCAGCATTGCACTCGTGCGTAGTCGGGGTGTAATATTTTTTTAGTAGTATAAAACTACCAATTATAATAAATTGAGTTCCAGTGGCAACACTATCGCGTTCGATTGTGGTAGTTTTGCGTGTGTTTTAAACCTGGTAACACTGCCATTGTGACGTCACATGAAATAGGCTGACGACATCTTTTTAGACTCCGTAATAAAGTGATTTTCAGTGGTTTTTCGTAGTGTTTGTACAATTTGTAGTGTTTTTGAACAAATATAAACTAAAAATTAACTAAGTGTTGTGTAAAAATTTCACTCGGTGCGATGGGCCACCAATAATTTTAGTGACAACGAGTGATGAAGAAAAAAGAAAATGGCTACCTTTGAACGCATGTTGTTAGCCAGGAAACATTTAATTATAAATGAGAGATACAATGTTATTCGCAAAATCGGCGGCGGCAGCTTCGGAGATATCTTTCTGGGAATAAATGTGCACGATGGAGAGGTAAATAACACATGTAATTTAGATTTTCCATACGACAATTTCTTACAAACGATTTCTTGTGTCAAGATGGCTGTGTATTTCGGGGATTTTGTTCTTGAAAATGGCGGCCTGGGCGTATATTTGATAATAATCGCTGCATAATTATAAAGAATATTGATTATTTTTATACATGCTGGTGTATGTTCGTATTACATTCGATGTTTTATGTATCTGGGACAGTTTGAAAAATACATCAAAGCATGTAAGCTTCATTGTAATGGTCTTGGGGTATGTTAGCTGTATGCTAATTCGTTACTTTTACTGTAACACTACTCATGTTTTGCAATATTCCGCTGTAACAATGGACCTGAATGTTTCTGTCAAATTGTGAAATTTCACTGATGACTGCGGTCGTAATGTAGTATTCATTTTTGAAAACCAGCTGGTAGACAAAGAAATGTATGATGATTTCGTAATTCGTATGGATTATTTATGATAGTTACATTAGGCACTTCATTTCGTAACGAATTATCAAATATGCTAAAACCAACATAAAATGGTTGTCTTCATGTTAGGACCTTCATATGACTCATCATGGACAACACCAACCTGCGTCTTAATTTCACTTTTGCATCAAAATGAAAATCAATACATGTAGTGAATAATCTACCTTATTACACAAATATATTCCTACAACCATACAGTTATGGGATAAACAAATTGTGTAAAAGTTTTGTTACTGGAGAATGGTCTGAGCTTTACAATAGCCGTGTTCTGTATAAATGTGCTAAAAATTACCACTAGCATTTCATCCCGTTAACATTCATCTGTTCCTTAGAAAATGTTTGTACATTTACCTTTACCTTAGTTGATGGCATTTCATGATTTACTATTTGTCTGTGCTAGACTTTCTTTAAAGCTTGTTACTATTTAAAGTACAGAAAACTCAATCTATGGGGTTGAATCTGGATGTACCTATATTTAGTCTATTCTAAGAAAAAAAAATGCAAGTCTAGTGCTTTTTTGTTGTTATAGCTAATGAACCAATGATTTTTTTGATTTTTAAGTAGGCCATAAAACGGGACTACACATGTCAATTTATATGTAAAAAACTAGTTGAAGCCGGCAAATTAATTACATATTCAAGTTAAAATAATTAATTCCAAATTGTAAGGGTTAATGTCAAGTTTTGTTAGAGAATGCAAGGTTGTTCTAATTCTCTCCTAAATCACACTAACATATAACAAAAATAAAAATCTGTAATAAAATTGAAATGATTTAGTAAGACTAGTCAATAATTTATTATTTGTCTTGCTGCTATCATTCTCATGACCTACAAACAAAGCAACTTTAATACTCATTATTACTATGGTTTCTGTTATTATTATGTCACATATCATACCTGTTTTAAAAACATTACCAGTGAAAATAAATATTTATTTAGGTATGATATGTTTTTATGTATGAAAAATATCTTATATTTTTACCCGACTGCCAAAGAAGGAGGGTAATGTTTTTCGAGTGTATGTAAGTATGTATGTATGTCTGTTCCTTTGTGACCTCCTGTAGCCTAAACGGCTTGATGGATTTTGATGTATGAGGTATCGTTAGATTTGTCTTGATTACGGGAGTGTCATAGGATACATTTTATCCTAAAAGTCCCACGGCATAAAGACATAATAATATTTTTTCTAAATTTCCCTTTAAAAAAATATGTATGCGGTATCATTAGATTCATTTCAATCACGGGAGTAATTAATATAGGATACGTTTTTTCTCAAAATTCCCACGGGAACATGTTAATTCTGCGTCAACGCAAAGCAACTCATGCGTTAGCAAGCAAAAAGATAGGGCGTGGCCTGGCTTGCGGCGCGCGGCGCGGTGCGGAGGGGGATATGCTCGAGTATACAGCCCGAATGCGGGCACACGCATAAGGGCACACGTCGTTGACGGTCGTCTCTAAATAGCGATTTTTTCGATACTTCATCTACAACATTTTCGTTAAATAAAAACAGCTAAAAAGTTATAAATAAAAAAAATATTATTAAAAAAACAAAATACCCGACTGCACACTAAAAAAAGAGTAAAACAAGCCCAACAATACAAATTTACTGAATATAATTTATAAATGTTGATGGAAAGCATCGCAGGCGGGGACCACCTTGACCGCCACCAACGAAAATTCTGCTAAATGGTGCACAACAGAAATGACTATAAATAAGCCTCTGTTGGTCCCCGCCTGCGATGCTTTCCATCAACATTTATAAATTATATTCAGTAAATTTGTATTGTTGGGCTTGTTTTACTCTTTTTTTAGTGTGCAGTCGGGTATTTTGTTTTTTTAATAATATTTTTTTTATTCATTCCAGTGCCAAAAGCTTTAATCTTTGCTTTCATTGCAGTGATAAAATTATTGATCAGATTTTGTAAAAGCATTTTGAATTTCAGTTTATAGTGTGTGCATCTAGCACACTATATTGTTTACTAGTCTATTTGTTTACTTGTTTAGTCAAAGCATAGCATCATGCAAATATTTTTAACATAAAATATACTTTAGTATATGAATTATGTTTGCGATTTTCTGTTCATTGCTTAAAGCATTTTAAGTTTAAAATGGTTTTTACTTGATAAATTGCATTGGTGATGTAAAATTTTAATCTATAAAAATCAGCAACAAACAAAATAAATCCTGTTACTTATCCATTTCACTGTCTTTCTGACATCTTTCCTTATAAATATACTGTAAACTTACATATTGTTTCTAACATAAAAATGCACCTGATTGTGTACTAAGCCTTTGATTGCAATTAGGCTTGTTAAATGCTTTATTTAACCAATGACCACAGCATTAAATTAATTACACTGTTTGTGGTTGGGTTTATAGCAGACTTATTTACTAGCATTAATTTACACAAGCTGTATCCTATTTTTCAGTAGCCTGTAAACAAGTGCAAAAGAATTATTTATTACTGACATATTTATGCTATTTAACTTGCCTCATTCTGTTTAGAAAATCAATGTAAGTTTCAAGCTGCCTGAGTACAGTTACAAAATCCAAAGTATAATTATCATAATATCAGTTTCCAAAATAATATCATAAGAATTTAGTTATGAGGACAATATTGCAAAGATGACACAGGTGTTGTTTAAGGAATGCATGTATATGCCCTGGCAGGTGGTTACTCTGCCCATATGGTCTGCATGGAGACATGTGGTAATATTGCAGCTTTTCTGTGTATATAATGTAAGAAAGATCTCATTTTTAATGAAATTTCCAACTGCAAAAATGTTAGTATAGTATACATGTTGGGTATAGCATCGCCATTTAGCTAATATTTGCATGTAATCTTCTCGTAATCGAATGGTAAACATCTGTTGCCATTAGCAACCGTGATCGTAAGATATTATTAGCATCCATAGGGTCGTTCCGATAAGCAACCCTTTGTTGTAAGTCCCCTGGGAAAGTAAGAAAGCCAAGGGGTCTCATTCATGCTTACTGTGTCTGGATACACGATGTATACGCTCAATAGGCGGGTCCAGATGTGCTACCATTTGTAGTTACTTGCACACAAAAGCAGATTTTATCATTCTTCTGGAATGTTTTCAAAATTGCCAAAAATTACCAACTAAATAGCCTTTACATCAAGCACGCACAAATATTCGCGCTTTCTATGCACGAGAAAAGCAATCCATTGGTACAATAGGCTGATATTCTGCCAGACCTATGTGGGAATATAACAAGCTTCTCCAACATTGTATAACACTGACAAACTGACAATATATCATTCATTACACCATCACGCGCGCCCTACTTAGGTCCGTAATTGGTATGATCATTTATGCTCAAGTTCTTTGCAGTTCAATGCAGATGTGCAATTAAATTGGCACACATGTTTTTGGCCAGGGGTTTGTCGCAGCCTTTTTGTTCTTTGATCTATGAGATGCCGTATTTCGGTGAACATCCATGTTATGGCGTCGGTTTTCACATAAACATCTAGGACAGTTGTTACAGCTAGTCAGAACTTCAATACGGAGTTTAAACAAGAATCGGATCGCTCTTTAGGGGTTGTGGAACTTAGATTGCAGTGGTTCCATGTACGTAATATAATTTTAGTTTTATAATGATGCTAAACTGTTTTTGTTTGTTGCAGGAGGTAGCAGTGAAGGTTGAGTCTATGAAAGCGCGGCACCCGCAGCTTCTCTATGAGAGCAGAGTGTATAAGATGATCCAAGGGGGCATCGGCATACCACATATAAGGTAAGTATTTGTCGTAGTAAAACACGTATTTCTTCTAAAAAGTGGAAATGTGACGAGAAAACGTGTTTATTATCTGCTTAGCATTGAACTGTCCTGCTTTCGGTTAGATAGTGTCACGTGTTCAAGACGAATAATAAACAAAATGCTTAGCTTAGATTACATTGTAATGTTTCCTACAATGCGTTGTCTAGTTTAAATTTACGCGGTTATACTTGAACAAATAATATCATTTTACTACCTGACACCTCACCAGAATAAACAAGCTATTTTTGCTCTTATAGCCAATCAACAATGCGCGTCTATCAACGTGTCTTTCAGCTCCTGTTTATCAGTTTAATTTGGCACACAGCCATCCTCCCAATTAGTGTTGATTTTTTAACTTAATATTCCCCAAGACAAGCAATGAGTCCTTGAATCGCGTGCTAGGACCTTCGACGCAAATCAAACAGTCTGACCTCAATACAAAGTTACATCGTTACAAGGTTTATCAGATTTCGATATATAACAGTTATAACCGTTGTTTATAACTAAAGCCATAGAAAGTGCGTTACCTAACTTGCAATTTCGTGTTACGTGCAGACGCAACTACGATTCATGTGGCTTTGCCAACCATTCGCTTTTTTGAAAGTCTTATTTTAATTTGATGTTAAATAGAAGAGCTGAAACTGAAAGTTTTATTTAACATTTTATCAATACTTTTGAGACGCGATGAGGTCTAATGCCCTATGATTCATAGCACATTAAATGTTCGGTTTGCCTTGACGTTTTTTAATAAAAAAGTCGCTTAGTAACCATACAAAATCATTTGCATTAACTTTTATTTTATTCAGAGTACTTATTAATAATCTTAACATTGTCGTAACTGTAAACGTAAACACGTACAACTTGACCATCGCCCACCAGTATTATGTTGAGGCCAAAAAGGAAGACACGCCCTGAGGAGGTACAATGCGGCCAAGTTACGTAGTCTAGCGACATTATAGTAAAACAGTTACAATCATCAGTTGCCAGGTTTCTATGCTTCGTACGTCACGATCATTGTCTCTCAAAGCAATTAGGGTCTGTCGACCGAAGTAATTACTGTTTCTGGTCCTGTTTGAACGAAAAACCTGCGTAAATAATGTGGTGAAGCAGCCACAGCCATTAAGGTCGTATTGGTGATTAAATTTATGTGTGTAGTACGTCTGCCGATGAATCGATGCGCGGGCGTCCATCGATTGGCCTACTAATGGTAGTCTTTCAAACATCGTTTCGTAATTCGTGAAATTCGAAAATATACGAGTTTTTCCATGATTATTTTTTGCTTGCTACGTTTAACTAAATTTTAAGGATTAATTATGTATATTACAGTATATTTTAAAAATCTAGTAATATAAAATAATACATGCAAGCAAGCATCAAGCCGAGATACAAAAAATACAAACATTAATAGCGTTACCAACTATTGTACAATACAACTACAAACTTGACACAATTTTTTTTTGCTATACCAAAATCTTGTGATTTTAACACGAGTCTATTAATCTAGAAGACATTTCAAAGGCCAGTTCTAACGGTATCTTCGCATAATTAAGTGAAAACTCAAGGTTTGCATTGAATGAATAGATGTTCGTTCACGTACGACGTCATGCCATCGTTGTTAGTGTAGTGTAAGTGGTTATTATTCTATTATTTTGTTAGGACGGGTATAACCTTCGTTTTAGTGCTTAGATTTAAATAACGACGGCTTTGGTCTGCCTACACGCAGCTGCGCTCTCTGACTCGTTGAGAGTAGTCATTTGATTGCACTCTGTAACAATACAGTATCGGTTTTTTGTTTAGTAGACCAGTTACTCATAAGCAGTAATCTAGGTTCGTTTACTTAAACTTTTTAATAAGTCTAAACTCAAATGCTTTATTTGCTTGTTAAGCTAATATTGGTAGGCAAAGCTTCACGGGTGTTTGTCTAGTAGTGAACATCTTTATCCCTTTATTCCTTTGCAATAAAGCCTTTTTGCTAATTGTTTAGAATATCGTCGTCTAGTTTGAATTAATTAAATAGATTCGTACTTGATTTCTTTGCGTACGGTAACCAGAAGGTTTTCCGCTTCCTCTATTAGTTTTAGGAACTTCCTTATAATTGTGAATGTTTAATGCATTCGTAAACTAATGTTTTTATTGTATCAACAACTACGGGGTATATGTATAGGCTATTTGACGTGTAACTTAGATATACGACAGCAAAATAGAGAAACTGCGCATCATTTTTCATCTTTACGTTAGATATTATTTTTGATACGTTCAAACAAAGCCTAGCCTGGGCAGTTTAGCATTATATATATTTTTTGCAGAGAAAATTTTTACATCCGCCTAAACGATCGTAACGCATCGCTGCACACCGTCACACCTACCGTGCCATTGCACGTGAAAATCTGCACGTCTGCGCGTTTAGTTTTATCTTAATAAATTACCGTTCCCTTAACGTTGATCATAAAATTATAAAAACCCGCTTTAAGAAATCCTAGAAGGAACTTCGAATTGAATTTAAATTTATTATTCGAATGATATGAATTTAATCCATTCCAAATGTTCCATCTATAAGGTAACACACAGTATGGTATTGTGTGTTTGTCGAACTTATGGATGAAACATTTAGGTCTCAGATTCTCGATCAGTCGCACTTACAACCACTAGGCCACGTACGGCCTACAAACGATTGCCAATTTCTTGTGAAAACCAAATGTGATAATTTATTTCATTTATTGCAAGTTATTGCTTTTGCGATTTCCTTATTAGACTCAAACTGATAGTATAATTAATACGATTGTTAGTAGATTACTTAAACAATGCCAAGATATCGACTTGGTTTATATCAGTCGTTGTTCCGGTTTTAGGTTTTATAATGACGGCATATTATATTCATTAATGCGAGTGTAAGGTACATTCTTTACACATCGGCTTCGTTCTAGGTCACCACCTACGCTTTCTATGTTTGTTTATACTTGTAAGTGTAGTTACTATATTTGGCTTGATAGATAAATTGGAAAAGTCAGGCATAACTTGCATATAAAACATGTAAAATATGGTTTCTAGAAAAGGCATAAAGGCTCGCGCCCTCTTAACCAACACCGCCCTAATGTTGTAAGGTGAAGCTTTCTACCCTGCGTCTATAGGCACGTTGGCAGACAAAGCCCTGCCCGTCACGTTTAGGGGACTTTCCTTTTACGCAATTTGAAAAGTTAGAGGTGAAGCCTTTAATGTGATTCCCATTAGGATCTTGGTTTACTTGATTATTTGCTATGAAAAGTTATGGTAAACTACCTACCTACAATAAATACAATTTGTTGGGCACTTGTTTATTAGTGTGTTGTGCCAATTTGTGCACAAGAAACCGTAATGTTTCATTTTTGTTTGGAAACCAGCCCATCATGCTGTCCTAATTTATACAATCCTTCTTTAATAGGTGTAATTATGTTTAGATTATAAACGTAAACTTGAAAATGTAATAGAAAATTTATAGATTTCTAAATTCTTTAATCTTCTTTTGTTTTATGACAATATAACACTATTATGGTCTCTGGAAGTTTCTGTTTTGTTTGAAAACTTGTGTCGCCTTGTGTGCCATATCTTATTTAAATTCGAACTTAGCTAGAAAACCAAACCCACGTCACAAATGCAAATATCAGACGCATACCCATTTTTTATGATTTCAGATTTGAATTTTGTGAAGGAGAAAACAATGATTATAGATAATAAGTAGGTAAATTAAGGTACATTCACGGAACTTAAAAATGTATCCAATGAAACTTCCCGATTAAATGTGGAAGATATCGCAGACAAATTATATTCTTTATACAATTTTTATATTCAACTGTGGAACATAGCGACTATTCTAGATATAGTGAAACACATATTTTTATTTGCTATCCCAGTCGAAACTTCAACGCTTTTCCTTCTGTGATAAACATTAAAACATTTCAAAGTACTCAGGCACTGTATCGGGAAGTTTATCTCAGATTTAACTTCATTACTCATCATTTAGAGTTGACTAAACATGATATCAATTACATATCTTCATAATTGAACGCAGTATAAAATATTTCTACGTCCATCAAGCAGATTCGGCATAGTACAATTGTATATTCCCTATGTTCTTAGAGTTTATGTAGTTTCATGAAAAATCAAAACAAAAAAGAATTATACATTTTGGTCGAGTAGTTTTAAGAGTTATGCGGTTATAAACGTGTCGTTGATTCATTTTGTTTATATAGATGTTAATTGTTACAGATGGTATGGCTACGAGAAGGACCACAACATCCTTGTGATGGACCTCCTTGGTCCCTCACTAGAGGACCTTTTCAACTTCTGCTCCCGCCAGTTCACCATCAAGACTGTTCTTATGCTGGCAGGTCTGTATTATACAATCTATTTCAGTACTTTGATGTAGAAGTATTCTGTTTCATAAGTTTGTTGAATAGTAAATACTACAAGTTAGTAAGTGTATGTATTCATGAGATGATTAATTGAAACTAATGATAATACTATTGGCACAGATACATTTTGGTATGAATTATTATGAAGTTACTTAGTACTTTTCATTCAGTTAACATGGGCGAAGTTGCTGGCAGAAGCTAGTCGTAAATATTCATGTGTCATTAATAAAAACATATAAAATTTATTGAATAGTACAAACAAGTCAAACGCCGACTGACTCGTAATCTAGAACATCGGCGTATAATTTCGAGTGGAGTCTCGATTCCCTAGTACAGGAAAATTGTCTACGTGTTGATAGACAGACTGGTCCACCTATTCTCTAGCATTTCTTTAATCAATAGGTTTCCGAGATTATCAATTTTAGTAACATTTTAAAATGAGCTTAAATTAGGTATTTGAACCGAGGTTTGTGTCGGTAGTAAATCTCATAGAATTTGGAGCATGGCCTTAGAGATATTTGAACAAAGACAATGGTGTTTCTCTATGCTTGTATCATAATTTGTGTAAACGGGAATAAATTTCTTCCACGTTATCGCTTGTGACATAAACTGAAAAAATGAACTTCGTAGGTAAATAATATCATTATTTCCACTTATTGAAAGCAGCTGCTGAAGGTTACCTTAGGTTACACATAAACTACTTTCGAATATCAATGTGAGAACATAGATCATCATATGCTCCTAAGATGGAAATAGTCTAATATTTGTATCTAATTTCTTTACATGAATTAACTTTGGTATATCGTTCGTTATTTTTAAAGATTTTTTAACACACGCACCGACAACTCATAAGTTACCGCTTTAAGTTTTACAGTATTTGTAATTGTTTTTCTGTACCTCTTATGTACCCTCTTCATGGAATCTTTAGTTTACTATTTACTCATTTCTTTAACTCTTATTTTTACGCACACATCGGAACTTCAAGGTAATTTTTCAGCCAATTAAGTGACTTAATCTTCAGAATATGAAACATAGAAGTTATAACATATTCCTTGTACACAGATCAAATGCTGGGCCGCGTGGAGTACCTCCACTGCAAATGCTTCATCCACCGTGACATCAAGCCGGACAACTTCTTGATGGGCATCGGCCGTCACTGCAACAAGCTCTACATGATCGACTATGGGCTTGCCAAGAAGTACCGAGATTTGCGCACGCGCACTCACATTACATACCGCGAGGATAAGAACCTCACCGGTGAGTATTTTATATACCTTCAACAGATTTTTACGAATAGAAAAATAAAATAATCAGCGATTTTGACATATATTTTTCGTGCTACGTACGACATAATACAGGGAAAACATTGCAGGAATTTATCCTGATTCATGCGTTTTTAAATTATAATTAATTCATTTAAATTTCAATAGCGTTCTCATTTACTTACACGTGGACCTACGAATTTAACCTCTACATTCGTTATACGTGATAATAAAATGTAATTGTTAAATAAAAGGTAAAAAAAAAACAAAAAGACGTTTAATTCAACCAAATTTGAAAATAATATTGAAATATATTACTATTATATTTAACTAGCTATTTTCGCGCGGTTTCACCAGCTGTTTGGCTCCTACAGATCGTAGCGTGATATTTTACAATCCTCGATAAATGGAATAACAAACACAAACAGAATCTCAATTCTAGTGGTTCCGGAGATTAGCGCGTTCAAACAACAAACTATAATATTAGTATAGATTGTCTTGTCTGTCTATTCGTATTGCATTTCGGTTATTACGTTTTTTTTAATTCCAATCAGGGCAGAGAATCGGATATAGGAATAATTAATTTATTCTGCCCAAGGATTAAAGATTTGTGAGATGTGTACATGCGACAGGTCAAAACATAATTTTATTAAAGTTGCTTGAATTCACTTTGATTCCACCAAATATTTATACAAAATTCCGAAACTTATCGCTGATACAGACCACAAGGTAGGTACAGATACCTGGTAAGGCACAGAAATACACACTCGTTAGTTTAGTTGACATTGTTAGCCGCTTGCATTGAAATTCTATAGAAAGTTTCACTTGTCGCGACTGCGACGCGACTTAATAAAGAGCTTCAGTAACCGACGCGTGTCAAAGCCCTTTTATCTGTACACTTGTATAGTCTTTTACAATCAGTTCACAATGCGCGTCCGGACCAAGTTAGTTCGTTACGTTCCCTTGTAGAATACTGTTAAGTTAACCTTATGGACGCCACAGAAACCGCCTTATGACTCTGTGCTGACTAGCGAGACTAAACAGACGTGTCTTTTGTTATTTATAATGCACACCTATAAATAATTGCGAAATAAAAAAAAAAAAAATATTTTGCGGCGTCAGATTTATATCAAGTAAAGTGTGTCATGAGTGCTTAGTAGGTGACCAACAACTTTGTCATAGTGTAAAATGAACAAATAAACTATTTTTTTAAACAATTTTTGTTACTGTGTTAGTTATGTCTAACCCAGAAGCCAGCCCGTTTGGCCGTAGCCAATTAATACGGCGAAGCCCACCATCGACGCCATCGGAACCTCCTAGAGATCCTAGCCCGCCTCCAGTCAGGGAAAATGAATTACCAAGTGAAGTAATTTCTACGCCGGAGATACAGAAGTGGATGAGCTCAATTGACTCAATCTTGAATGAAGTCTGCATTATTGTTTCGGAGGGGAAAATGAACTCTGAACAGAAGCTTCGAGTTACCAATCTTTGCCGAAAGGTTTCTAGCGGGACGTCTCAAATGGCCATTTTATACCAAGCTCTGAAGCAGAAAACTATCCAGGCCCATAACTCAAATCAGCATTTACAAGAACAGCTGAATATTTCAAACTCTCTGCACCAGCTCAAAGATGCCGTCGAAAATAAAATTCAACCCGAGACTAAATCATATGCCAATATGGTTAAAAAAGGATCGGATACTTTTGTTTGTCCAGAAAATTTGAATTCTGTCGTAATTTATCCCAATGACAAGACCAAAACGAGTGACGAAACAAAGTCTCTGGTCCAAAAGATTATCTCGCCGGAAGAACTTAAGCTGCACGTTCGTGGATTGAAGAAGGTTAGAAATGGGGGTGTCATAATTAATACTGAAACTAAAGGGGACATTGAAAAACTTAAGAACTCAGCAAAATTAGTTTCATCTGGTCTTAAAATTGAAGAACCATCAAAACGTCGACCCAGGATTGCTGTTATTGGTGTACCAGTAGCCCTTACAGAAAAAGAGGTATTCGAATGCATATTCGAGCAAAACATTACCGACAAGTTGCCGAATATAACACGTGAGGCATTCCTGGAAACAATCAAATTGAGCCACAAATCGGGTAAGAAGAATCTTTCTAACTGTAACTATGTTTTGGAAGTTCCTGCCAGCATTAGGAGAGCATTAATTAATCAAGGCCGAATCTTCATCAATTGGACGTCATGTCCGGTCCGAGATTTTACTATTGTGACAAGGTGCTTTAATTGCCAACAGTTTGGTCATGCGGCCAAGTTTTGCCGAGAAGCTATTGCTACATGCAATCACTGTGGAGAAACTGGCCACTCCTTCAAGGACTGTAGTAACAAATCTTCTCCCTCACAATGTGCGACGTGCAAACGTTTTAAGCGTAAATGTGACCATCCAACAGGGGATATGAGTTGCCCAGCTCGTAAATACGCAGAAGACTACTACATTAATTCCATAGACTATGAAGGGGCCTAATGCTACCACACACCTTAGTATGTAAGCACTTTAGAAATAAATTTTTATTTTGTATTCTTAAAAATTGTTAATTTGTAATTATTATGATCACTCAGCTAATAGATGACCTAGACAGTTTTTTTGTGTCTGACGCGCAAGTATGCAATTTAAAAATAATCGCACATAATTTAATTTCGCACGCTGACTTTGCATGCACTTGCCCTGCTTTGGTAAATGCTGATTAGACTAAATATGTAGGTGTAACAATTGACACAAATCTGAACTTCCGTAAACACATCGGTCTTTTGTGTACTAGATCGTATGTGCTATTGATGCGTAAATTGATCCATTTCTAAAAACTTCTAGAAATCGTACAATGTTGGTTACTAGTCCGTAAGAAACAAACACTTTAAGTGTTATTTTAAATCTGTTTTATAATTTTTATATGTATAATATTTAGTCTTGTAGTCATAAACAATATACTTTTTTCATTAGTAATATTAATTGTATTTGCCCCATGTATTAAAAAGTCGAAGACTGATGGCCTGAAACACAGGTTTACATAAACCTAGCTCGGGCAGGTCACTTTAATATCGTAAGTCCTTGTTAATAACAAGTATTTCATAATTGTGAAAATAATAGTATAAGTTGTAATTACCTTGCATTATATAAATACCTAAAAGTTAACTATTGAAATTACTGTGGCTTATTATAAACAATATTTTGTAGAAAGTTATCAATAAAAAAAAAAAAAAAAAATTATTGTCTAAAAATTGTATGTAAAAATGTTTCATGTATGGTATTAACCTAAATCGATGTTATCTAATAAAGAAAACGTAACGCAGGATCACAGTAGCTTTTACGACGGGTTTGTGTGTCTCTTAATGTAGAATGACATTCTTTTAGTAATTTAATTGTAAATTAATTTGTAGTTTGATTAGACAGTAGCTTGAACTAATAAACACACACAAAATATTTTTATTAAGAGACTAGCAGACCACCCCTGCTTCGCACGGGGTACCTGACTACCCTAGTGTCAGTCATTTGTTTTGCAAACGAACGGCCACGGCGTCGAAAGGGTTGTTGATTACCGCTATTCCTCTTTACTTTTCTAAAGCTTTCTCTCGTAAGAACCTTCTCCTTATAATAACGAACATAACAAAAAAAGAATTAGCAAAATTGGTCCAGGCGTTATTGAGTTATGCGCTTACCAACACATTTTGCGATTCATTTTTATATATAAGATTGCTCAATCCTTAACTTGTGACGTCGTACAATTGTGACGTTAGCTTTTCGACAAGACTGTGTGACACTGTCGTTTATAAGGTTGATAAGAATGAGTCATCACGGGTGCTTGGATATTCCAAGCTAGCATTAATTTCGTAAGTCTGTGTTCCAATGACTGATAAAGATTATTGTTTCGAGTCTACGCTTGTGTTTATAAATGTAAATAATATACTAATATACTTTTATAAATACGAGGAAAACAAACAGCATAATTAATTATTTTGTGGAAGCGCTAAATGAATAAATGCGGTTTTCATAAATTTATTTCGTCGTTTGGGCGAAATTAATAATACATTTACTAAAAGAACTTAATTTTATTATTTATAAATGACACTAGTGCTATTAGCGTATTGTATGCTAGAGTTTTAAAATATATAAGAACTGATAAGTGTTTGTTGGGCCCAAACGCTCGCGCTTAAGTTAAAATGAATATTCTTAAAAATTACCTACCCAGTTATTATCTACTTCTTTAACTTTATAAACTAATCTGTACAATTCTACGATGAAATCGATAGGCTTATCGTTCTAAATATTGTTTTATTTTATAAGATAAAGTTATAAAGAAATATTTCACTGCGAACATTTAGCGCAAGTGAAATGTTTTGATAACAAGAATTACATAAAATTTTCGTTATATTAAATACGTATTAGTTAATAATTTAGTCAAAGTATGATGAAAATGGAATGAATAGAAATCCGTATAATATATTGAAGTAAACGAAAAAAAAACACTTTACACAGTTCTTATATTAGCGAGGATTCTTTTTCAGTCAGCCTTTTAACGAGACCAGCTTTGTAGTAACGTTCTCATCGAATATCTTCTAAATATCGTATTGTTTGTGTCAGGTACGGCTCGGTACGCCTCGATAAACGCCCACCTCGGCATCGAGCAGTCACGGCGGGACGACATGGAATCGCTTGGATACGTACTTATGTATTTCAACAGGTAAGTCACAAGCAGACAATATCTATCTTGTGTAGTAAGCTTTAAGAAGACTTGACGTACAGTTATTTCTTACTCGTTATATTGTGTTAACTTGGTTTGTCTGTGATAGTTGATGCCCAGACAAGGGCTGATCAAAATGTGTACCTAAGCAGTTCGGGTTTCCATACAAACATGCAATTCTTGAATTGTTGGAAAATACCAAACCATGAAATTTTAATAATCGAGCAGTTAAGTTATACACAGTTTAAAGTTAGCAAAATTGCCTCTCTGCCTCTGAGACGGAGGTGGAGAAATACGCCTTGTGTGGTAAATCTACGAATTTTTGCTTCTGCGTTAGCTCTAAATAATGTCACTTTAAAGCGATGCTACAACATTTTTATAGACTAACTAATCGAAGGAATTGTCTCGCTAATCTTTTACTTCACCGAATATTTCAACACAACGAACTTATGAATTTTTTTAAGAGAAAAAACTAAATTTTATGTTGTAAGTTACAGATAGCAGACATTAGGAATTTTCCAAGTAATTATTTCGGGACGTTATATTTATTTATATGAGAAAATTTCTATAGGACTTTTGTGTGGGAGATAGTTCGTACTTTTGTTTTCACCGAAGTGGAGTGCGTGTTTGGTTTGTTAATGGAGTGACGTCACGGTATCTAACAGCTCCTGTAGAATATCAAAGTGATATCGATTCTCTGTATTGTGATTCACGTTTGAATCACACGGATCTACGGTAACATGTGGGGAAAGAATGTTTCACGGTATTAATACATTTGCGAGAACAGCTTGGATACTTCTAGGAATAAAGCCTCAGCTTTGAATTAAAAATTAATTAACATGATTATCATCGCAAATAATTGAAACTGGTACAGTTCGAAATGACCTAATTAACGAATATTATTTTTATTTAATAAAATAAACACCACGTGGTGATAGTTGCTTTCTGTCAAGCAAATTTAACCTATAAAGTTTGCATTGGCAATATCGAAATCGCCCAATTAACATGTTGCGATTCAAATAAAAAGAAAAAAAAAACCGTTGGCACAACTCGATGTCCGTGCCTATATCCTAAAGTCGTGCGTATACCGGTTTGTGACCGTCTGATCCGTTGTGCATGTCCCGACTTGTTGCAAGTGACTCACAGTTGAAAGGAACCCGTTCCATACGGAATAAGGCCGTTAATTTAAAATGTCTGGGTGATACTGGATTACTGTTACTTCCCAATACTTTTGTAACACAGCTTAAGTTTGAATCTTTAACGTTTTAAGGTGCCACACTGACCTTTATGATTGTTTTAATATTTCGGTAATTAGAAGAGAAACAGGGATACTAGATCTCTAAGAAGAGTGAATTTGGTAATTCGCCAACATCTATTCACCCCTTTTGTGTTTCTTTTATAGTTCGGCCGTTCAGAGAATGCGTTCCTGACACCTATCAGTTAGTCACGACTAGTGATGGGCACAACATAACACTGAGTTCGTTACCGTTCCGCCAAAATAAAGCCGCGTTATTTTTAAGATTATTTTCGTTTTAAATTTTCGGAATCATTTAAAATTTATATTTTAGTAATTTAAGTGGAAACCAAAAAAGGTAATAAAAATTAATATAATAAAATTGTTTTATTTATTCTTTGTTACAAAGTTACAATCTGTATTTCTATGCAATAAAGTACATTGAATTGAACGTACGTACAGAATATTAATCAGACTCCGATTCGCTTGAGGAGGTGGTGTCTTCATCATCATCTTCGCCTACATGTATATTTATATTATTATCAATTACAGAATCAATCCTGATATCTCGGTCAAAATGTTCCATAACCAATTTTTCAATTTTTAAAATGAAAAACAAAACGTATTATTTTATTAAGTATAACTGTATAAGAACAGATTACGATACTGTTATTGCCTGTTATTGTTAGCACAGCACTACAAATATAAAGCGCTGACATAACCTTGTAATAGCGCAGTATAGATTTAGAAAAATATTGTTTACCAAGTTATTTGACACTCAGTTTGGCACAAAATTATACAATTTTTTGTATTTATATAATAATGTTGTTTTAATGCTCATCAATTGTTAAAACGGTAAACAACGCGCAAACATATTTTTATCGTAACTGCAACGCCATTACAAAGTTACGTCGTCAGCTCAATAGCGACGTGTCAGGAACGCATTCTCTGAACGGCCGAACTATAACCTCGTTTTACGGTACCGAAGCGGGGTTATTCATTTGTTTCTTTCTACCACGTTTTACATTGTCTGTTACAAACGTATTAGTAGGCCTAATGTTATATACTTATAAGATGATGCCTATAATATTACTTAGAAACTGATCATTTGATCTTTGAACACTAATAATGATGTTTAACAATATTTATTATTTTTACAACAGAGGTTCCTTGCCATGGCAAGGTTTGAAGGCGATCACCAAAAAGCAGAAATACGAACGGATCAGCGAGAAAAAGATGTCTACGCCCGTTGAGGTGCTCTGTAAGGTGAGATATGACAAATATTATTACGAGAAATTAATTATCTGTGAACGTAACATACTAGAAATTTACAATGTAGTAGTATAAGATACCTGTAATTTCTAATATTTAGTCTCTTTCTACTACCTCGAACAGTCTGTTTTATTCGTAAAACTTAAATTCTTATAAAATAGTTGTTGGTTTCGCGTAGGCAGTAGATTGTTCCTACAAATCGTACCTTGGATCCCAGTAATTGGATAAGCTTTGTGCATAGCCCAGTAACAGCTGACATCGTGATTACGCGTGAGCGGTAATAGATTTGAACCTGCGACCTCGGTAAGAAGGTCGCCTATTGAAATCATAAACTCGTTTGTTACGTTAACGAGAAAGAAGTTTAGTTAACGTTTGGTAAATATTATATTAGCTGTTCATGAATCAAATGAAAACTATTCGATTTCGAAGAAATTTAAGTCAACCTGTTTAGAACTCTTGGTTAAAATGGTATTATGTTGATTATGTCTAACAAAGAGAATCATTCCACAATGAGTACATTATTCAAAATGTTTCCTCAAACACTGCATTCGGAATTTGAAGCGATTGAAAGTCAAGGGCCCATAGCTTAATATCCAATCGAAAGTAGCAGTTGACTTACTTTCCCATTAACAACATCTCTTGCAATTTCCTTGTAAAATACTGACCGTTTTAGTGATGTAGAAAGATGAAAGAGATCGGAATTTGCAAAAGGAATGACATTTATTTATTAGAAAGAATATATTTTGCGCCGACTCAAATGTTCCAACCGTGTACGAACAATTTGAATAAGATTATATGTTACTAGCTACTCTTGCGCGGTTTTACCCACTGCTCGGTTCCATTTAATCGTAGCGTGATGTTTTTATAGCCTAAATAGCACTCAGGAACATTTTAGATATCTAACAGTGAAATAATTTTGCAATCCGACCAGTGGTTCAAAAGATTACCCCTACATACAAACTTAAAAACTTTACCTCTTTGTAATATTAGTATAATAGATAATCGTAAGCCTCTAAAGTTAGGTCACTTAGTCATAATTACTTTTTCGTTGCAGGGATTCCCGGCTGAGTTTGCTATGTATTTAAATTACTGCCGCGGATTGACCTTTGACGAGCCTCCAGATTACATGTACCTTAGACAGGTGAGTTATTTTGATGTATTTTGTAATAAGTTAAACATTTAAGTAATACTCATTATAAACATAGATTTTTTTTACTGATTCATTGTATAATACAGTAGTAACAGCATGGTTCTTAAAAAATTGAGATAATATAAGCATTTCGAGTTTGGATATATACCCTGATAATTTCATCTTTATTGAAAACGTTTAAGTGATTACCATATAAAAATTAATTAACTACAAAATGCATCTCCATTTCATTTTTTTCTACTATTGTCTCAAGAACAATCAAAGAAATTCTATTTGCTTTATTATTCATTCTCCATCTTCCGTTTCTGATGACAGTCATATTTATGTATATGATTTTGCACAGCTGTTCCGCATCCTGTTCCGCACGATGAACTACCAGTACGACTACACGTTCGACTGGACCATCCTGCGGCAGCGCAAGCAGCACATGGAGGCCGGCGCCGCGCCCGCCGACCGGCGCTCCCCCTCCGTGCAGCGCCGCGCCGCCCAGCAACCCAGCCAGCCGCCCCCCAACAACGAGGTAACATAACACCCATTCAATGTCATCTATTCTTAAACCTATGTACTTACATATATTCATGAAGTATTCACTACCTTATTTACACTAACAGTTGTTTATATCCCTTTCAAAACCATAATTTTCATATCCAATTATTTCCAATCGATTGTGTTGTAGTTGCCTTTATTTTTCCCGGACAGAAAGGTTTTATTTACCTATAAATTTTACTCTATAATAAAAAAATTAAATCCTCAAATGCATTAAAATATTATGCAATAAGGATTTAAAGACAATGGTACTGAGACAACAAATCTGCAATTGTGAACATATAAGGGAATTTCTCACGGTTTCCAAAACTTCTCAGTGACTCCTAATGACTGTATTTAACCTTTAAATTTATATAACAATTACATCTCCTAACATTAAAACTCTTACAATAATATTGTGTTCTATCAAATCCAACTTTATCACATAGATTAGTTTTAAGTCCCATATTAATGACCTCTTCATACATCTTATTTTCACTTCCTAACCTCACCTCCTTTCATAGGTCAAATCCGTCCATGTAACAAATGATTCAGCCGCTAACAAACAACCGGTGAAAGGGCATCAGTCCGTCAGTCAACTGAAGAAGAAGCTCACTGCAATATCATAAACATTACTGATTCTTTACCTTTCTAATCATCTTAAGACGTTACCTGAATATGCACCACGCTGATAGGTAGTGCTTTTTTCCTTGCAGTGGAAAAAAATATATCAAAATAAATTTTCCATAGGAGTTTTGAAAGCTTGACTTCACTAATGTATTCCCGCGTTATATTCGAAATATTAAGTTCATTGTTTTGTATGGTTGTTTTTGTTGCTATATGTTACTCGAAATATAGATAGAATAGATAGTGTTTGTGTAAACATGATATAAAGCTGTTTTTCGTTTGTTTTTGTAACAAATTACGTGCTACGTGACGAAACGCATGACTCAACCAGTCACGTACGCAGATATTAGAATCACACAAAATAAAATAATGTAAAATGCGGATAAATACATAGAAATATTAATGAAGCTATAGTTTATTCATCGCATATCGTTATATTCGTTATTGTCGAAATTGAGAAGATTGGTGCATATTCATGAAACGTCGACTCATCGTAAATTGTTAGTAGACGCTATAATAAGTTACTTACTAAATAAACGTTTGACATTCAAACCTTTATTTAATGAGAGTGGCAGTAGAGACGCTTTTCCACCTTTAGATATTTTATTAACGTGAATATTAGCAGTGAATAACAAATGGGCGGTCATATGTCCGTTATCACAGCGGACGCTTTCGGTAGCTCGGTACTGTCCGAACAAATTGTCGCGTTTGAACTGTTTATTTTATGGTTTATTGGTGTATAACTGTGAATGTAAAGTTGTGTGTATGAGTGTGTAAATTTTTACTTTATAAGGTTTAAAAATATTATTTATAGTATTATTAACACATTCGCCAGTTGCGTACAGCTAGCTAGCAACGTTAGTGTTTTGAACGAAATCTTTTTTAAGCTTCACAATCATATTGGTGCTAACTGTACACAACTGAATGCAAAATAAAAACCTCATTCGATATGGCACGTCACAATTTTTTATGTTAATTAATTGTCAAAAAATTGTATAAATTACAAAATGAGTGTTGCCAACACAAAAAATACTGTAATGTTTGAAATAAGGTTCAACATACGACAGGCTACGATGTGAATTTTGTAAATGTAATTTGAATAAATCCATTAAGTAGTACACGCGTATAATTATTACTGAACGAAATAATATGCAAGCCAAAACTCTGGTAATTTATACTTACTTTATATTCATTTAGATATTTTAGATTAAACAATACAATAACTGAAGATGTTATATTATTTTAGCATTTTTACAGTAAAGAGCATTTAATCACATGTAGTGGCCTTAGAAGTAGCATTGCGAACGCCTGATATTTACAGTCGCGTAATTAAAAAATTTTCTGTCCTCTGTGATTAGCGTAACCAAGAGTATTGAAGTATTGTGGCGTAGATATCTAATAAAATTATGCTCCCTAGTATCATTAAAATCAGAATCCATTGCAAGTTAAATGAAATTTGGATTGACGTGTATTTTTGTGTATATAGCGTAATGTGTGTGTTTCGTTTGCAGTGAAAGAGATTACGACGTTCGGCAGCCCCGGGCGGCGCCGCCAAGAAGCGCGCGCGGTAGCCGCGCCGCCCCCGCCGGACGCCTGACTGACCACGGACTTGCTCGCTGCGCCCGCTCCCCCAGCCTGTCCCTCGAGTGAGCCGCGCACTCCGCCTGTGACCGCCTGCGCCGCCTGTACCGCCAGTACCGCGGCGCAGGCCTGCTCGGACCAGAAAGCTGCACTGTGGCTGCAATATCGAGGACCACTACCGCAGTGGTACATATTATAATGATCTTTGTTTGGACGCGTTCCAATCGTCTTTTGTTTACTGTATAATATTTAACTGTAAATTACATTACAGATGTTGATACGATTACACTAGAAAATGATTCATGATTAATTCAGTTTGTAGTTATGTAACTCAATGATTGTTTAGTTTTCGATGTTAGTTTTCTAATTAGCTAGTGTTCACATTTGATTGTTACCTTCGGCGGTATTTCAATCTGTTCTCTGTACATATGCGAATTGTGTTGGGAATACCGCCGGCGACGCGACACGTAACACATATATTGGGCTAGAGTTGTTCATTAAAATTGCAGATTTCTAATGAATAAAGTAGTCTATATAACAAACGTGAAAAAATGGTAAAAAAGTAAAAAAAAAACGAAAACATGTGGTAGTATGTAAGTGAATTGATTTCCTCCCATTTGAAACGTGCCCTGCCTTACTAAACCGACATAGTATTTAAGATTATTTTTACTATTTTGCTTTTACTTTGGCGTATTTCACTTATAAATTGTACATAGACATATGGGCAGAGCGCGTTTCAAAGGGGCTCGGTATGGCGGTATATCTTATTTGAAGATTATAAAATTGTAAATATATAAGCTAGTAAACTTGTTTTAATCACTACATATTTTTTTAAGAAGCACTAATTGCGTTTGATTTGTGGCGTATTGTGATACTGCATGTACTGTTCTGAGCGAGGCTTTGCGCGTGGGATACTTGGAGAAATGTTAGCTGGACACGACTTGGTGTTCTATCTCTCACACACAGTGAAGGTGTCCAAGTTTTACGTTTCTCGTGGCTTCCCTCGCCAAGCTCGACCGGGGCTATTCTGAAGGTTTCCAAGCATTCGGAACCTTGTCTTGTAACTGGAGTGAGTTTCATTTGAGGTTGTATACTCCTCAGTTTTTCTAATGAAGAACATTCCAATTACCAAACAAGCTCTCAATCATTAGACTAAACTATTCAATAATGTTCATGTTTTTATACATACAACGTTTATCCTTCCATGTACATGAATGAATGTTAATGAAGTGATACTAGTGAACAGGAAACTGACACGTGTAGTCTCGGCGTGATTGCCGGTGTCGTGGGTAATATTTTTTAAATTGAACACTAAACAATGCTTCCATAGTTTGAATGCTAGAAGTATCATAATACACCATGTTATTTCTAAGACATAACTATAAGTTTCCGGAATGATTAGTGCGAACGAAGTGTGAGCGAACAAATGGAGACAAAATAACACAAGTTTATACCATGTATAGTTACAATGTTGGTATATATGTTTGACCACTGTGAGTGATATTATGGATCTCATCCCTTGCAAATTCGGTTTTATTTCGAGACTCAGTAACATTGGTTCAGGACTCGCATTTTGTCTCCAGTTGTGTGTATACTCAGTGTGTCAACACTCTATAAATTAATAAACAGTAATAAACTAATTTCTTTGTTTTCTTTCATATATCGAGGCCCTTTTAAATGAAACACAAGAAATACATTTTACACTTTATTCAACATTGTCATATAACTTACAGTAATTAACAATAAATTTTCACATAATTATTACTAGCTCTTGCGAGCTATGTACAGAACACCTAATCTAAGTCGTAACATTCGAGAAAAACACCGATTTAAACAGCATAACAAGGATAGGTATGTAAATATATGTATCTAATACTGAATACACCAAATTTTCATTTGCACCAAAACACACAATAGCTAAGGGAAATTGCAACATATAAAAAGTACTATTGATTACGACAGCTATGGTTGCCTTAAGATATTCGTCGATGTATTTAGTAACATCAAGAAGTATTTCGTCTCATCAGTCGTCTAAAAAACTAATAAGTACTCTTAATTTAATAATAGTCACAAAACAAATAATAATTTATGACAAATCTAGATTAAAGAAACATCTAATAAATGCAAGCTACACCTAAAGGAGAATGGCGAGAATGGACCCACATGATTTAAAAATAAAAGAGGCGTCGTGTACCTCCAAGTCTATTTGAATTTAAAATAAGAGTTTAGTAAAAGATTACATAAAAAATATTAAGTTGCTAGCTCATGGGAATTAAAAGTTAGAAATAAATGAAATCTATTGAAAATATGTTATCATGCAGTTTACGAACGCATCGCGTGTCACCGATTGCATTCCAACGTTCATTATGTTAAACAATTTCATCCCCTACTTATGCTTTTGGACGGTTAAGTTTTGCAGTTATTTTTTCTTTTTATACTTAAAACGTAAAATAAAAAACACAACAAAAGTGAATATACAAAAATACACATTTTAATAAATAAAACTACAACGCGAGAATATTTTACTTCTAACCTTTTTTGTGCGAACGTAAGTTGGAACGTTTACGTCTGACAGTGACGTATTAGGTATGTCATATTGTCATTCCATCGTTTGCTCTTACCGGTTGACTTGGGATTTGAATGCGATTTTGTGGATTATTTTTCGACGACTTGGCTTTATATTTTGGACTGACTCTTCTGCATAACGACCACCGTATTTATCTTTGGACTCCGATTTGCAAGTGATTTGGACTTATTTACCGTGCAAAATGCGTTGTGTTAATTGTCAATTACGCATTGCACGATTACGAAGACACCGTGTTTTCGATGAAAACGCTCAGCTAGTTGAGAAAGTGCGTAGATGGGTGTATCCACGTGATGTAAGTATCCTAAATGATAATTATGTACTTATTTACATTTGTCTGCAAGGAACGAGTAAAACCTACTTATTATGCGAGTATCTGATGCGAGGGTTCGACTGTAAGTTGGTGGCCTCAATTCAACTTTTACAGCTGTTTTCATGGTAGCAGCAGATCTACTGTTACTGCAACTATAGGAATATAGGAATATAGTTACCAATATCCTAAATGTAATGTACCTACATAAATAAGTAAATATTCCTTATTAATAGAATTAAACCTATATCTAACAATCTTGATGTAAACGAGTAGTAGCATTAATTACAAACTTCAGTAGTTTATGAATGCTATGTATACCTATTAATGTTTTTTTTAAATGGTAATTAATAATAATAAATAACTATTGTCTTTAATTATTGCAACATATGTATGGTTAAACTAACACTGGTTTTATAATAAATAATAATAAAACGAATGTATAATTATATACCTGTTTACTTTTTTTTAGATAACTCACGACTGCTTTATTTGCCATTCCTGTTGGGAGTTGATAAATCACGAACCCAATCAAGATGTTACCCGTCAGCAACTTGGCCATCGAAATGTGTGTGCTGGATGTGGGAGATCCATATTGAGAATAAGAAGCAGATTGGTACTAAGACCAGAAATGTCTGAAAGAGAAACCCAAATAGCAAATGTAGTGGCTGAATGGATAAGACCCCGCCAGGTAAATAACAAAATCATCATATCATATAAGTACAATATTATATAATATGTTTTACTGAGACTGCACTGGCTGCAGCGCCGCATATTGTAGATTCAATTTCCACATGGAACAAATATTTTGTATTGATGGATCCACATCACAGTTACTCTGTAGCTCAAAATGTACAAATGTTACTCTGTAACATCTGCCAACTAAAACTTATTTAATGTTACTAAGTGTTGACTTGTTACTGTAAGTCGAGTAACATTGTTTGATGATCAGTAACACTTAGATAATGTGGGAGCCAATATGTTTATTTTTATGTTTTTACATTTGTAATTTTCATTGTTTCAGTTAACTAATAATGATGAGATTTGTGTACCTTGCTATCTACGAGCGCAAAGAGTATTGGGTAGCTCTCAGAGAAGTTCTACCCTTGTTCCTCCTTCCACATTTCGTCAAAGTGATACACAGCCAGAACAACAAACAGAAGTTGTTCCATCGACATCTGGAAATCTCATCGATGAAACATCTGCTGAGCAAATATTGCCAGCTACATTTACAGATGACACTGCAGAAGATGATGAGGTTAGCCTGCACATTACAAGTCCTCCATTGCAGGTAACTAGTGCTGAACAAATCACTTTACCTACGTTAAGAAGAGCAGCAGACACTGCACGTCGTTGCCTGTTTTTGGAGTGCAATGATAGTGAAAAACGACGTGTGCCTGATGGGCTAAGGAAGCAAATTATTAAGGATTTTAATTTTTATATTCCAAGAAATGCCAGAAGTTGCACATTTCATTTAGGTGCCAATTTGTTTCATGAATTATATGCTGCTGAAAATGCCTTATCAACGTTTAGTGCAGCACATATAGAAGAAATAGTATTTTTGCTAGCAGAAGAAACTCAATTAGATTTCCAAAATCCAGAAAATATTGATGATCATCTTTTTAAGTATTGGTTTGGACGGACAAAGGCTGAATTTAATGAAGTTCTAGTAGAAGTACCTCAATTAAATGATGCAAAAATGAAAAACGGTTTTAGTGCACTTCTGTGTAAAATGCGGACTGGAGATAGCGATGAGAGAATATCGACACTATTTAAAATTCCAAGAAGGACTCTCGAGGATCATATGAATAAAGCACGAGGCATCTTGTGCCAGTACTACGTGCCTCGGCATTTGGGATGGGCTCACAAACCCAGACAAGAATTTGTGGCAAGAAATACTGCTCTGGCTGAACACCTTTTTGGAAATCCAGAAACGCCCAGTGAAGAAAGGCGTTTAATTGCAATTGCTGATGGAACTTATTTAAGTAACCAAAAAAGTAGCAACTACTCCTTTCAAAAAGCAACTTATTCTCTTCACAAGTATTACAACCTAGTGAAACCTTTTTTAATAGTTTGCTGCGATGGGTATATTATAGAGGCCATGGGACCATATCCAGCTACGAAAAATGATGCCTCCATAATGAATGACATTATGTCTGAGGGAGGTGCCTTTACACACTTATTTAGAGAGGATGATGTTTTTATTTTAGACCGTGGGTTTAGAGACTGTGCAGATAACATGACAGACAAAGGTTTTTTTATACATATGCCTGAAACTATTTCGACAGGGGAAAGGCAACTTTCGACTCTCCAAGCCAATATTTCAAGATGTGTTACCATGAATAGATGGGTGGTTGAAGCTGTTAATGGAAGGTTTAGTAGAGATTTTAAAATATTCCGTGAAGTTTATTTAAATAAAAGATGTCCTCATATTATGGAAGATTTTCGAATTGCTGCTGCATTTTTGAATCATTTTGCTGTTCAGTTCAGGGAAAGAGCTAATGTACGTGAAATTATCGAAATAATAGATGCAAAAATATTTGAAGACAATGAACTCTGTGAAGTTGTACAACAACATAATTTAAATATGAGATCCACACTTTTTCAAAGTATCTCACATACAAATATAGAATTCCCTGAATTGACCATAAATGACTTAGAACTAATTGCTCTAGGCACATATCAAATAAGGCAAGCAAAATCATATGTTGGGGAACATCTAAGAGTCCACGGAATGTACACACTAGAAGTTTGCCAAGATAATGCACCTCTTCAAGGGATATTTAATGACAGCCAGCCATCTATTATACGTGGCAGAATTAAATCTAGGCATATAGGAAGTAAGTCCTACTTTACATATATTGCAGTTAATAGAAGGCTAGAGGGGCGAAGTGCCATAGTAGGTTATTATTGCCATTGCCCTGTAGGAACACGAACAGTAGGCTGTTGCTCTCATGTTATGAGCATATTATGGTACATGGGTTATGCCAGACACCAGGAATCTATTTCTGCACCAGCTACATTTTTAGACAATCTTTTAGTAGGGTAAATAATGTTTTAAAGATTGTCTAAAAATGAAGAAGGTTCAAAGAAACATAGCTTTATGGTATGTGAAAATACAAATTATAAAAGTATTGATAAATACATCAGTTACTATGTTGTGATAATAAAGTAAATAAAGATTTTTTTAATAATGGACATTCTTTTGTTTTTGTTAGTGTAAGTAACGCCTACCTATTTAACTTATCATTGTTTTTAGGTTTTTACCCACAACATGAGTTCCTCTACTTTTACTAGCCTTAGACAAAGGACTTTTCTGTTAGCGTTCCTAACAAACACTAAGTATTAGATGACAATGTTAATTATGCATTACCGTCAGGAATAGGGCGCCATAGTTAGGTTGAACCCAAATGACCGACGTTGCTATGGTTACGCACAGCCCCTGCTGTTTGCTGTTTCGCTGACTCAAAAATCTTTTACATTGAAAGTCGGTCGCTGTTTTGGTGCAATTTATGCCATCTGTCACTTGTGGCTAGACAGGTAATGTCATTATCATACATTTTGTACTTGGCGTTTCGCGGGAACGCTAACGGAATAGTCTTATACCTGCTTCGATTAATCTAATCTGTGCTTAGACATAATACATCTATAGATTTAGCCAGGTTACCATAGTTACCATGTTCCTAGTTCACAGATAATTTTAACTTTTAGATTTTTAGGTTATAGTCTTCTAACTTGTATAACTTTTTTCTCCCAACTTTTACAGTTGACTGTCCATTTGCATTTTTGCTAGTTTTCTATAGTTCTATAACTAGTACTAAATTTTAATAATGTATGATTCTAATATCAATGGGTCCCAACTTACATAGAAGCTCGCCATTCTTCTTTAAAAATGACACGATTATATCGAAATAATAAGAAATGAAGATAGATCCACTAAGAATTTGAACATCATTTTATTTATTTTAAATTACAATGTTTATAAACTGATTAAAAAAATATAATAGTAACTGGTAAAACATATTTTTTTACAATTAGAGGAAAAAATAATGGCAAAGTCAAATAATTAGGACTTTTAGTTTTGTTGATAAAAGAACAATATTGAACAAGGGCACTGCGTCACCAGGCCTTCCAGATTAAGATTACAAACATCATTGTATTGCAATTATCTTTTGAGATTGTAAACTGTTAAAATATTGTAAACATTAAAATATTATTGCAATTTAATTTTAGCAAGTAGGTAAATCTCTTTCAAGATACCTACCTGTAGTTATTCGTAACAATGGAAGTTTCCCGTCCAGCCTTAATGTTGTCATAGCAAAATCCACGGATTAGCATCTTAACAAAATAATTACGTCTCCAAACCCTCAAAGATGTTTCCATTCGATTGTATAATATATGTATGTATGTAGGTAAAGCCTAAACTGTCCTCGTTCCGCGGCGCCCTTGTTCAAATGTTTTGTTATTATTCCATAATTAAAGATTAAAATCAAGGCTAGGATATTTCTATTTCCTTTAATTAAAAACATTTATTTCTTCTGAATCAGCTGTGAACTTCCAATTAATTAGAAAACTGAAGAAGATTTTAAACGCTCACTTTTTCAAACGTTCCGATTGCCGTTGATGGGTAGCCGTTACGTTAGAACATACAGTTGTTAATTATGAAAGCTAAGGATGATACATGGCTATTGGCTGTACACTTTTCACCATCAGATAACCTGCATCGGCTTCCTGGCAACCGGAACATGTGACCTTTCTCGCTATAAGCCCGTCGCCAGTTATTTTCGTAGGCCGTAGCAAGCTACGACGTAGCAATGTCGCTAAAATGCAGGGTAGTTCCAAAGTTTATAAACTCCCATAATAGTTTTTGTTTAAAATTATTACTGGATACATTTAGCAATAAAATTATTGTATTCACGTTTAAAATAATTTGATAAACAACACTATGTGCTGCGCAGCAATTTCTTGAACGACGATGGAAATAATATTGATCCGCATTTGTTTCAACGACCACAATGCCGGCTTTAACATCCAGTCACTGGATGATTTTAACGAATTGCCGGTTTGGATCATTATTTTTAGTCACGTACGAGATATTCCGGCAATTATTATTAGGGCAACTATGCGCCCAAAGGGCGGGATTTCATTAAAAAATGTCAGGACATCATCGAAAAACAAGTGCCAATCGTTTATCTTTACATCGGCTAAGGTGTATAATTTTACGTTAGTAACTATGTACTACTGATATGAAAGCTTTTTGCTACATAAACATATAATACAATAAGCTATATGCTATTTTAACAGAATACGACAGAGCAGCGATAGATATTTTTTATAATTTTCAAATATAATATATTTTTAATGTCACATTCTAAAATGGTCCACTACTATTTACACGTAACGTGAATAAAAATGCGTTCTTAATATTAAAATTTTATGGGTTGCCATAATAAAACTACTTTTTTTATTGATCCTAAAGTGTCTGTGACTAGGCTTACGACTTACGTTCCCAGCCGTTTTCAAGTACTGTTTTGAATTTAAATAAGTGATAAACATTTATTGAAATTGGCTATTATTCATCATAGGTATATTTATACTTAATATCTATTAAATTGAATTCAACATCAAATTGACATTTATAATTGATGCGTATTTTTAATTTAGAACTATTTTTATACTTTATAATAATGTTAAATTAAATTCAAATCAAGTGGAGTCTTTTTCACGTCGAGGCTAGTATTTATTTTATTTTTCTTGCAGAGCATAAGTAAAGAACACATTTATTAAGCGAATAGGCAAAACTTTTTCTACACAAACATTTCGATACGTTTTGAATTAGGAACATCACCTTTTTAAACGTCAATGGGTTAAGAGGCAACGTAGATCGCCTTGATATTTTGAGATGTGCAACACATTAATTATTTTATAATTATAAGCAGTTTAATGATTATTGTCGAAAGGACACACGAATTAATTTAATTAATATACGCAGTGTATTTTGCATGTAATTGACGTTCACTAGTTAAGTAGGTTTTGGGATCTATTTTTTTTATTTTAAATATGTAATTACAGACTTAACATGTTTTGTTAATGCTATATATCTACGTGTTCGAAGCGGACCGAAAGCGGTCAAACGTGTATATAGCCAACATCATAACATGAATTTAAAAAATTACATAGGTTAGCGTTGGTCATAATGAGGACATTCCATCCATTTTTACCACAGGACAATGCGTAAATTTTCACAATTAATTGTCACAATAATTGAGTAAAGATTTTTTTTATATATTTTATGATTTAATTGACACTTACGTTAACATGTTCTTCGTTAGTTCAATCGTCAAAGTTTTTCTGACGTTTTAGAATCGTCGTAGGCCGAGAGAATTTTTCTCTTGAGAGCCTTTAGGTATTCATTATACTTGCTTTTAACAAATCTAAAGAGCGAGTATGAAGTTTGAGAGAAGCAGTTTTAAGTCCACAATCTCTAATCTAACCTATAGTAGATATTTCGCTACCAGGGTGTAGGTACCTAAAATATTTATTAAACATTGCCCTTACGCGTACGTTGTTGGATTATATTTGAGCGATGGTAAGGCTCGTTTTGGTCTAATTTAAGCTTTACATGAATTAATTACACCTTAGACTATAATGGCCATTGCTTTAAGACCACGGTGTACAAAATACATTGGATTTGGTCGCACGTTAGCCATAAATTAGCTGAGCACTTATAGAATAGCTCATCTATCTTCACGTTTAGGCTCTAATACAACTTTAACATTAACAAAAACGGAAAATACTAACACAACGTAATTTTCTAAGTAAATACTAGTAATTTTAAATAGACACGCACATTATAATATTATTATATCTAAGTAGATCACAGAATTGGAATGGGGTGGTGCTTTAATAAAGAAAGGAAGAAATAATGTTGAGGTATTTGGATCGACATGGAAAACGGGTGTTTGGAAGATGGGTAGCTTAAAACAGGGTTATACCTTTATAACACTACGAAGATTAAGGCTTTAAGCTAAAGTAGTTTACATTAAATCGAGGTACGTACAATAATTGGGATATATTAGGTCATTACGATATAGGAAGTCTTATATACAATATTCTATATAAAATAAACGAGGTAAGAATATACGAATTTTCAATAGTTACGAGGAAGATCAGAATATTGAAAGAACGATTTTGAACTATTTACAATCGGACTAGTGTTGCCACTACAGAATAGCTGTAGTAAAAAGTACAAAAATGTGATACAAAACTCAAATATCCTCATTCCTATTGTAGTAAGTAATTCGTCTAACATCGATGTTTTGTAATAAAAATATAATTTACAATAAAATTATATTAATAATTTAGACTACATATAAATATTATATTTGAAAAGTGACTAAGTCATACGTATTTTTAAATAATATCACAAATAAAAATGGCTTATTTATAGTACACATTACAATAATCGCGACTAGGTAAGTTTTCAAAACGTCAGTATCAGTATACTAAAACTATGCAAATATTCATAAGATATTTAGATAAACGTTAAAGCGAATTATTCATTTTGCTATAAGTCACATTTATACGTAGACAGCACGCCACAGAAACAGGTTAACAATAACAATATATACATTAATGTCGTTACTGAGTACTCTTGAGAACATTTATAGAATATGTTTAATCATTGATAATTTTTAACATAAATTGTATTCATAATAGCTATAGAATTAAGACAAAACATTATGCAGTATAACCCGAATGTTCCATGGATAAGATGTTAAAAAACCAACTTTTCAACCACTATCAATGAACAGTAGGTATTCTATATTCTTGTTAAACCACACTCGCATATTTAAAGATAGGTAAGTATTGAGATTCTCACGAGTAGTTCGTTAAAATAGCTATTTGTGCGAAAGCAACTCTAGTGCTCCACAAAGCTATTTACAACAGGATTATTCAAGTACTTTCATTTTCTAGTTGTGTACCAACTCCGTTCACATTATATATTTGTAGTAATTACTGAGACACTGCCAAATATCCCTTATACTGCCTACGATTCAGCGGTCATAGAAGCGTGTATAAAAAATTCACTTAACATTATTCATAAATTAACACTAGCAATTCTATTGTGAACGTGAATAGAATTTATTTATCCCCGGACCGCTAAGCTACACGCTAACTATAAAATTTCTTACATTATAAAAGATACACTGAAACTAACATCGATGCTTTTCATTAATCATAAGACAATAGCGTTTTTATAAAACTTAATTAATATAGGTAATACATAAATATATCAAATCATAATAATCACAAAACATAGGCCAGTGATCAACATAAGTTTCAACTAGATAGTGTTTAAGTTAGATTTTTGACAAAGCCTACGAATCCAAGTAATATTTATTTTTTTGAGGACGTGACGTAATTAAAAACATAAATTATAACCAGCTAGTTTTACGACATCCATGCATCAATCCGTTGTTTTTATTTCAAGTCGTATCCATCATATTCTTACGTTTAATTCGATTCCAAATCCAAATTCAACCGCCAAAAATGTTAGTATAAACCTAACCTTCTTAGCATGAGCTTCCAAGCGTGCCAACATAATAAAAACGTAAACAAAAATGGCGTCGTTTAAAAATTAATAGTTTGAAACGCAATCTGGGTGCGTGTAGTATCCGAAGACATTAAGTTCGTAGAGACTGGCTAGGGTAATGAAGAGGATGTACCACACCATCAGTACTGCGCCGTACTTGCGGTCTAGCTTCCAGCCGTTGGCGTGCGTCGCTACGACGAGGAAGATCACAGTGGAGAATAGTGAGAGGGTCGAGTATATCAAACCTGAAAGTGAAATATGTATTTATTTAATGTAATCATCAAAGCAAAGTCGTTTTCTCTGTCCCTTTATCCCTATGTATGCCTAACTTTAAAGCATTTTTTCAATAGATAGTGAATAAAAAGAGGTTTATAAGTAAAATAAATAATGTCCATTAAATACTTAGTCGAAAAAAATAGTATCAGAATTATATCCGTGCAAATTCAGCGAGGGTTGCTAGTTGTTAATAATTGCTAGGGACTAGCGCAGTAAGGAACCGGAGCAGGAGAAGGAACGAAGTCTGACACTTCACAGACAGCCATGATTTTCTCCATTCAAAAAAAAGTTTAAACTTGCTTTCCAAGTCACGTGGGTCAAGTCACTACCCAGTTGCCAAACTACGAATGTTATTTTATAGTCATTCCGAAAGGGAAACATGCGACATAAACCTACCACATGTATACTAATATTATAAAGAGGTAAACTTTGTAAATTTGTATTATTGTAAGTTTGTATGTAGGGGGTAATCTTTAGAACTACTGGTCCAATTTCCAGAATTCTTTTACTTATTAATAGCTACAATGTTCCCAAGTGCTATAGGCTAAAACATTACGCTACAATCAAATGGAGCCGAGTAACGAGTGAAACAGCGCAGGAGTACCTAGTATATAATATTTGGGAGCTATCACTTATCGTCTAATGCGGTAGCACCTTGCTCCCTTCTCTTAGAATGCAGTAGATGTTGGTAGGAAATCCTTACCTTTGTGATAAACATTGACATGTGAGCCGGGGTGTATGATGGCGGTCTGAATGAACCACGGCAGCCCGAGACACACCAGGATATCGAACACGTTGGACCCGACAGCGTTGGACACCGCCATGTCACCGTAGCTGTGCGAAAAAACATGTATGTGTAAAGCTTACAAATTTTAATAAACCTTTTTCATTAGTTTACTAGCGGCCCGCGCCCGCTTCGCACGGGTCCCACTATCTCGCTATCAAAGGGTTACTATTACCTAATCTTCCCCTCTACTTTTCTAATATTTTCTTTGATGAGAACCTTCTCCTGACAATAAAAAACACAACAAAAAAAGAATAAGCAAAATTGGTCCAGGCGTTGTTGAGTTATGCGCTTACCAACACATTTTGCGATCCATTTTTATATATAAGATTTCATACGAAACTTCAAGAATGGTAATTCGGTAGTTTGATAGGTCAAAAATAAATTATTTTGACTTTGTGATGCTGATGGGAATACAAGTGATTGTTTAATTATAATCATGTTTACATTCATTGATTTGATGTTTAGCTCAATTTTATGACTTTTCTAGTTAAATATTTGAAAATAAGTATTAAGTAGGCCGTTTGACGTAATATCATTACGACGTCATATACTTATTGAGATCTCGTACAAAAATCATTGAAAAGTATAATTTATGACTTTAAAAAAAAAAAGAATTTGACTAGTTGGAAAACACGGAATTTATGTTAAGGTATTTCGTGAAATTTAAAGAGTTTTGATAATGCTAACGATAAACGCAACTCGAGACCACAGCCTCTTATTTCGATGAAATCAGTTAATAATAAGTACACATCAATATCATCACATTATTAGCTTACAAGTGCCCACTGCTAAGCAAAGGCCTCTTCTCACACGGAGAAGGTTTGAGCATTTACCACCACGCTTGCTCAAGGCAGATTGGCGATTTCAAACTTATAATTAGAAATTATAAGTCCAGGTTTCCTCAAGATGTTTTCCTTCACCGTATGTCAGTGGTATCTATATAGTCATAGAAAGTACATATGACTCGGAAAAAGTCACATTGGTACTTGCCAGGTTTCGAACCCGCACCCTTATGCATGAGAAGCGCCTTAACCTCCGGGCCACCATGAAACTAGTGTCCATGGACGGCGATAATACGAGTATCTTAATCCGTCTGCGTTTTTTTACTATCTTTTATGGAGTACTCACCCCTCCTTGATGACGGCGAGCGAGGAGAGTGCGTCGGGCACCGACACACCAGCTGCTACGAATGTCAAGCCCATCACCGTGTCAGGAATACCCAACGTGTAGCCTAAAGAAGAAAATAATATCCCATAAGTCAAGTTTACCAGTTTGTTAACCTTACAAAACATTAAATGAAACATTATCGTAATTTTTTAAGACTTTATTTTTATTAATTTCATTATTATTTATTAAAAAGCTCCGTTAAATAAAAGTTTATGTTCGCCGCGGTAATTTTTTAACAAAAACTGTCCCACAGTAGGATATTCTCCTGCGTCGTGATTGCGTTTACAAACATACAATTTCAAATACACATGACACCCAGACTTGGAACAACAGTTTGTGGACCACACAAAGTATTGTTCCGTTGAGGCAATCGGATTGCATGGCAGCCAGTTGCGGGTGTAAGCATAATAATTGTAACGCGGCTCCGGCCCGGAGCAGCAGAAGGAATGACCCCCTTTTTTTAATGGCTTTTAGACAGTCTGACATTCCCTCTCGCCAAACCCAAGTCGAGAGAAGTAATTTGATGATTTTCCCGCGTGCGTTCGTGCAGCGGAATGTTGTTGAATTTAAAGATTTTAATTATGCAGATATTTAGTGTATGACGTCGTATAATTGTGTATGGTAAAAAAAAAAATTGTGCACGCAACCATTGTGGAGAAATTCACCAAAAACTGATTCCGCTGGGCGAACGTTGTCCTGGCGGAACTTTTTTTAATCCATAGACTTTAGAAGAAAAGAGATGTATCCAAAAATTTGTGTGTATTTGTGTGTAATTGTGTATGTATAAATAAAACTAGTGCATGCATAAACTTCGGAGAAATTAAAGTTTCCGCTACGCGAACGTTTGGCCATTAGCTAGTTTTCATATAAAGCGCTTACATAGAGAGCTGTAGATTTTTACATACGTTGTTTTGAATTTGTGTATATTTGTTTAAAAAACAGATTTAGAAAAAATCGTAGAGTTTAAAAGATAAAAATATAAACGTAAAATACGCTTATTAGGTCTTAGCTCTTAAAGTATGCACTTTAGGGTCTAGATTTTCACGTTTATACAAACCTTGTAAGTGTCTGCAACATGTTGCCAAGTATCAATGATGTTCCGTTAGTAATTAAATAGTTATAGGACAAATTTACCATGAATAGATCACTGTTTACAAAGCAGTCAAATATCACGACGTTCTAAATGAATTGCATGGTAAATATATTTATGATAAATATATTTTATACATTACTGTACCTATGTGAGAACAAAGCAGAGACAAGTTGGCAAAAAGACAAAATAGAAAATTACCATGAAATTATTCATCAAGTCGAAAATAAAATTAATTTTGATTGTAATTAAAGTTTAGGCACGAATAAAATACATCCATTATGTATTTTATTTATTACAGACAAGCGAATCGGCTTCGCACAGGTGCTGATACCGATTTTTCCCACTATTGAATGAGTATAACTGTACACATAAACCATCCTCTCTATCTATAGGTATTAAAAAACCGCATCAAAATCCGTTGCGTAGTTTTAGAGATTTAAGCGTACATAGGGATATAGGAACAGAGGAAGCGACTTTGTTTTATACTATGTAGTGATGATAGCCTTTTAAGGCGAAGTTTTTTAAAACAATCTGAGACAAAACGTCAAACTGTGTTTTAAATTAAAAAATATATATATATATGTTTTAGTTGAGAATCTTATCTAGTCAAAATCGCAATCAGATGAAACCCGATAAACTTCACTCGATAGAAAAAAATCCAAAAGTCCTAATCCCTTTTTAAAACGTTTTTTCAATATGGTGACTATATTACTAATGTTTTTCATTATTATTTTTTTCTATAATAAAGAAACTAATTAGTAACAGACAAATGCGCAGAGATAGAATTGATAAAATTATTTTCTTAAATACCTACTATGTTTTAATAAGAATTAAAAGCGGTCGCGGCGGCTCGACTCTTGGTAGCGTTGCCGTAGCGATACCTATATTTCGCTTGGCCTACACGCCCTTAAGGGCCATTAAATGCGCAGCCAAGGTTGTGGGTCAATCGCAATGACAAACCGCGTAATAAGTCCTCTTGCCTTTCAAAAAAAGGAACAAAGAAATATAGACCTAAACTAGTAAATAATATGAACTATTAAATGAGAATCAATGTGCAAATAGTGTACATGCATTCCGTTGTCATTCCACAGTGACGCACTAAGTCATTTAACCTATATATAAATTGACTGTCTCTGTGAGTCATCAATACGTCCTATTGATGAACTATAAATACGTTGTTTACTTTTAATATTTATTGTGTCTATCTGTTAATAACTTATTAAAAAGGTAGAGAAAATATTGCATTTCATTTATATTGAAGCGAAATTATAGTTTTCATTTTAGGCAAAACGTCGCACATTTATAATTTTCTTTTGGCAGTCAAATGCATTACAAAGTACCTAATGTCTCAACTATAAAAGCCTAGTTTTCTTCCTACTTAGCAACGGAACGAATTAGTAGTAGCGTTATTGTTTGATAGAACTAGCACAAATATATCTGCCGACACAGACACTTCCACCTGATAATTATGTTTTTATGAAATAACAATATAATTTTAATTAAGTACCTACCTAAGTTACCATACGTTTCATTTCCATGAAATGGTTTTACTTTAAATATTTTAAATTCCTACATAAGGCAAGTAACGTGTAAAACATTAATTACAAAAAAATATATAATAATAAATATAAAAAAAAAAATATAATTAGAAGTGACATTTTTATTATTTTCGTAAACAATCCAATTTGTTTGTTCAGATGCACCAATTTGTATAGGTGTAGTCTGGTTTTTGTAAAACTATGAATGGCAATTTGCTACGCTAGTTATATTTTCAAATGAATATTACAATAATATTGACGCACCGTTATCAATGCAACCCTATTCGTAGGGCTCGGTATAAGTAGCTGAAACACATTGTTGTGTTACTGAAGAATTCTGACGGCGATGGCGATAACTTACCCGGTACGTACTTATTTATTTTTAATAAAGTATATTTTTAAGAACCCTATTTTAGATATACTTACATCCGGTTTCCGAAAGGCCGATCAATGTTAAAATCAATTTAATCTATTGTCAAATCATCTGATTGGTTGACCGAATTATCAACAACCAATCAGATGACTTGACAAGATATTTAACAGGAGATTAGTTAATTTTAGCGTTGACAAGCCTTTCAGAAACCGGGTGTTAGATTATTTTTTCTCATTTTCCATATTAACGTTAAATTTATAAACAGGATTCCTAATATTAATCTTATTAATCTCTACGCTTGACTGAGACGTGCAGATAAAACATCAACAGTGGTTGTTGCTAGTTTCTAATGTCTTCTAGTCTTTAAGAGAATTTATTTTGCTAAATGTTATGTAGGTCTTTATTTTATTTAATATTGTAACTAATATTTTTACAGGTCTTCGTGATCGTAGTGGTTGGGCTAGCAGGCCTGACCTCGTTAAGATGCGCTTATGCCTTCCCATCGGTAGATACAGTACAGTCACATGAAACCCTTCAAAAGGTCGGGAGAAATAATGTCATGAAAAACTGGTTACCAGATTCTGTGAATAAGAGCAAACAAGATAACCCGAGAAAAGAACAGGTGCACAACAATAAAACAAAACGTTTTGAGAATGAGACCACGGACTGTACTTGTCCAGAAGAACCTTATACAGAGCATCCTGAGTCTCCAGAACCTGAATCCGAAGGTCCGTCGACAAACGATCCTCTATCTGATGGTACTGAAACTCCTTCATCCGATGCAGACTCTTATCCATGCCCAGATAATGCTACCAATTCTTCTCCTGATAGTACCATTTCTGCCGATGATACTACAGAAAACCCCAATACGCCAAGTACTAAATTAAATGACACATATTGCACGTGTGACAATGATACTGAATCTAATGTTGAAGATCCCGACATCTCTCAACCAAACGACTATTGTGAGACTTCGAGAGAGAACTCCACATCGTCAGGTAACTCCAAACCGTCTTCTCAAGAAGACTCTACTTATCCACAAGATGGTGACGTTACAACAGATACTACCGATTGTTCATGTGACAAAAACTCTGAAGATATTCCTGTCGACTCTAGCCCTCCACCAACACCAACCACACAAAATGATTACACAGCTTCACCAGAAGATTCTAGTCCCTATCCAGGCGGTGACAACAATACTTGTTCCGATGATGGCAACAATCTTTCTGACGATGACGACAACAATTCTTCTCCTTCTAAAGAAAATAATTCTCATTCCTCTGACGAGAACAACACTCCTCCCGGTAATGAAAATACTCCTCCCGGTGATGAAAATACAACTCCCGGTGATGAAAATACTCCTCCCGGTGATGAAAATACTCCTCCCGGTGATGAAAATACCCCTCCCGGTGATGAAAATACTCCTCCCGGTGATGAAAATACTCCTCCCGGTGATGAAAATACTCCTCCCGGTGATGAAAATACTCCTCCCGGTGATGAAAATACACCTCCCTGTGATGAAAATACACCTCCCGGTGATGAAAATACTCCTCCCGGAAATGAAACTACTCCTCCCGGAAATGAAAATACTCCTCCCGGTGATGAAAATACTCCTCCCGGTGATGAAAATACTCCTCCCGGTGATGAAAATACTCCTCCCGGTAATGAAAATACTCCTCCCGGTGATGAAACTACTCCTCCCGGAAATGAAAATACTCCTCCCGGTGATGAAAATACTCCTCCCGGTGATGAAAATACTCCTCCCGGTGATGAAAATACTTCTCCCGGTAGTGAAAATACTCCTCCCGGTGATGAAAATACTCCTCCCGGTAGTGAAAATACTCCTCCCGGTGATGAAAATACTCCTCCCGGTGATGAAAATACTCCTTCTCCAGATTGTGCCAATAATTCTCCTCCCGATCAAACTACAGAAAAGCCCGATTCCCCGCCAAATAGCGAATCGGAGAATAAAACACAGTGCTCTTGTGACAAATAATATTCTTAACTTAGTCCTGAAGACCTCGACGGTGACCCTTCACCAAAGGAATCCAGTTCTCCTATAGATGACTCAGAACGTTCAAATGACTCTAATCCTTCTCCAGAAGACCCAAATTCTCCAACAGATAACAGTGATGCTCTATCAGACCCTACTCCTTCAACAGATTGCTCTAAATAATGATGTATTTATTTGTTAAAATATTGTTTGCGAAATTGTTACATTATAATAACTACCGTAAAACGGGGTAAATAGGCTTTGAGGGGTGAATAGATACACGAAGGGGGGGAGATATTGGCGAATTTTCCTTGTATCCATGAAATTCACCCCTTGAATTCTATGCACCCCGTTTAGTAGAGTATGTAGGTTTTTGTTGATAATGTTCTACAGTTTCCAGCGTTTAATATTTAAATTAGAAGCACATAAAAAAATTTTAAAGTCAATGACATATTAGAAACATAAGCACTGTTGAAATGGTGAAGGGAAATGTCGTGACGAAATCTGGACTTATAATTTCAAATATAATAATTAATCTTAATATAAAGTGCTTTACTTATCTTTGTAGTGTTCAAAATAAATATTTCAATTGTTTAATGTACATTAAAGTTATAATTTTATGGAAATTTTTGTACTTTTTGAAATGACTTCTCCTGCCCAGGGTCGGGCGGGAGGGAGTGTCAGACTCTTATTGACTAAAAACCCCCCTGTTCCTTCTCCTGCTCTGGGCCGAGGTCGCGGTGCCTCATTGCGCTTACCCCGCAACCCCGGCTGTACTTTGATTCACTTAAAGTATGATAGTTTAATCATTTATCTATTCATATTATAAAGTAATATTACACCCAAAAATATTTAATGTAGTAAACCTAAGAAATATTAAGTACTAAAGTATTATTTAAGAATGTTTTCTCCTACTGATTTACACAAAGATTGTTTAAATTAATTTCGACAATAACATACCTATAAAATACATACATATAAAACTGTAACTAAATATGTTTCGATTGGAGTTGATTCATGATAGCACAAGTTTAAACCTTAGAGTTTTTTTGGTTGCTATTTAACATAAATAATCCTATAACATTTGTTTAAATGATAAATAAAAAAAGGTAAAATTTGTAAGTTTGTATGTAGGGGGTAAACTTTGGAACCGCTGGTCGTATTCCCAAAATTTTTTCACTTATTGATAGCTATAATATTCCCAAATGCTATAGGCTAAAAAACATCACGCTATAATTAAATGCGGCAAGTGAAACCGCGCGGTAGTGTTAGTAAATAATATATATATCCATGGCACAACAGCATGTTCTCTAAGTTTGGAATGATAATTTCTTTTTTTTTTTTTTGTATTCTAACACCCGGTTTCCGAAAGGCCGATCAATGTTAAAATCAATTTAATCTCCTGTCAAGTCATCTGATTGATTGACTGAATGATCAACAACCAATCAGATGACTTGACAAGAGATTTAACATGAGATTACTTTATTTTAGCGTTGACAAGCCTTTCAGAAACCGGGTGTAAGTTTTTTAAGTTTTCTAAGTATCATACAAAAACACACAAAAAAAACTTATTTCAAAAACAAACTCCTTCAAGAAACAATAGCTAGAAAGTAAAACGAAAAAAAATACTACTGTTATTCACATGTTTTTACTTACGGAGAAAATCATATGACTTCTGTCTATGTAGATTGGGCGAGAGAGTGTCAGATTCTTAGGTACAATTTTTTTTAAATCGGTACCCCACACTGATTTACTCCTGTGTCGTGTGTGCGGTTACAAACATACAATTTTACATACACATGACACCCAGACCCGAAACAGCAGTTTGTTGATCACACAAATAGTTGTTCCATGCGGGAATCAAAACCGCAACAAGTTGCTCTGCCACCACGCGAACCGTGCAGTCTAAGTCATAGTAAAGGAAAACTTGGTGCACTTACCAATAATGGTGATCATCCACACCATGAAATAGGAGTAGAAGGAGATCCACAGCATGCTGATGATGAAGGTGACGGGGTACCAGCGGCCGCGGCAGTCGGGCATTGTGTGGCGACACGACCAGTGGATGGGGAACACTAGATACCACCACGCCAGCTGGAAGTGGTCTGATAACAGAAAGAAGATTCTTTAGAAAGAAGAAGAAATCAAACCCCAAAATGATATTTATTTGTTACTATCCTGGGAAGAAACCAATAAAAACTAAGCAGATCAAGGTCTGAGAGAGAGAGATTTAAAACAACTAAAATAAGTACTAACGAATATAAAACGCGTAAAAGGCGTGATCAACAAATATTCGGTGTTTTCCAACCAAATAAATTCATCATCACTTTTATGAAATTAAAAAAGAAACTAAGTGTAGGAGAGTCATGCTTTGGCACAAATAGGTCAGCTCGACCGGAGTGATACCACGGCCTCACAGAAAACCGGCGTTAAACAACCACAGCGTTGTGTTTCACCGTGTGAGTGAGGTTACCGGAGGTCCAATCCTTTCTTTCCCCCAATTCCTCCCCAATCCTTAAATCTCCAAATCTCTAATCCCCAAAAGGTCGGTAACGCACTCGCAACTCCTCTGTTGTAGGTGTCCATGGGCGGCGCTGATTGCTTACCATCAGGTAATCCGCCTACTCGTTTGCCGACCTATTACATAAAAAAAAACTATACTTTTCTATGAATTTATGTATGTATGAGAAACCAACATGACGTCATAATGATTTTACGTTGAATAGTAAACTTATTTTTAAATATTTACGCGAGTCCAGGATTCCTTTTAATGTTTTCATTCACCGTATGTCAGTGGTGTCTAAATAATCATAGAAAGTACATATAACTTGGAGAAAGTCACATTGGTACTTGCTAGGTTTCGCCTAAACCTGCACGCCACGACAGTGGTGGCCTGCAGGTTTAGGCGCTAGTTTATCAATAAGTAACTAATCTACTAATACTAATCAATAAGAGTCTAGAATGCTGTTTCATAACTTAAAATGAACGAAAAAACACTTACTGGCTCCAATTGGTTTGACGAGAGGATCCACGGCGGTCTCAGGGTTGTACTCCTTAGCTTTGTAATAAGCGGGGGCAGCTGGCTAGAAGGTAGAATTTGAGGATATAATTATGACGATTCAAACGCTTGACAACCCTACTATTATATCTATAATTATATACATAGGTATGAAAGAAAGTCGCGTTAGTTACTCCACTTATAACTCAAGAACGGCTGAACCGATTTAGTTGAAAATTGTCAGGAAGGTAGTTTAGAGCCAGGAGAAGGACATAGGATATAACATAGGGTACATAGAGTAGGGTAGGTAGAGTAGAGTAGGTAGAGTAGGGTAGGTAGATTAGGGTAGGTAGAGTAGGGTAGGTAGAGTAGGGTAGGTAGAGTAGGGTAGGTAGAGTAGGGTAGGTAGAGTAGGGTAGGTAAAGTAAGGTAAGTAGAGTAGGGTAGGTAGAGTAGGGTAGGTAGAGTAGGGTAGGTAGAGTAAGGTAAGTAGAGTAGGGTAGGTAGAGTACGGTAGGGTAGGTAGAATAAGGAAGGAAGAGTATGACGGGAGCGACGCCGCGGGTAAGAGCTACTAAATATTATAAATGTAAAAGTTTGTAAGTATGTGCGGATGTGTGTTTGTTATAATTAGGTACAAAAACGTCTGGACTGAGATAGGTGACACATAGGCTGATTTTTATTAGCCACGCGGGCCATACCGCGGGCTGAAGTTAATGTAATGATATAGGAATGTGTATGGAAGCAAAGAAAGACCAACCATGCACCTATTATTAGTTTGCTCAATTCCATTAAATGTGGGAGAGCCATGGTTCGCTACGAACGAATGGGCTAGCTCGACTTGAGTGGTGCCACGTCCTCACCGAAAACTGGCGTGAAACAACTACAGCGTTGTGTTTAGCGGTGTGAGTGAGGTTACCGGAGGCCTCAACGTTACCCTCCCCTAATCCTTAAATCCCAAAACACCTTATCCCCAAAAGGTCGGTAATGCTCGTGCGTCTCCTCTGGTATTGCGGGTGTTCTTTGGCAGCGCCGATTGCTTACCATGAGGTAATAAGAAACCACCGCTATATCACATCTACACTAATAGATATTATAAAGAAGTAAAATTTGTAAGTTTGTATGTTTGTAAGTTTGTATGTAGGAGGTAATATTTGGAACCGCTGGTCGGATTTCCAAAATTCTCCCTCTGATAGATAGCTACAATATTCCGGAGTCACGCTACGATCTGTAGGAGCTGAGAAGCGGGTGAAACCGCGCGAGAGTAGCTAGTAAAAAATACAAAAGACAGAATAGATTTCTAGAAGTATCGGATGTGCGACAGCGCCGACACGCACACGCTGGTCATGAATAAGAGTCCCGTTTTGACTTGAAACTAGTCGAGCTTTACTTAGTAAATTCACGCGAGTAAGTCGTTACTTTCAATAAATTTAGATTGCTAATTTGCTGGAAGAATGTTATAAAATATTGTGTCATTTATATAGAGTGATGCACGCACCTGTTGTGGTTGTTGTTGCCCGTCCTGTTGCGATTGTGTTGTTCCTTGTTGCTGTTGTTGTTGTTGCTGTTTTTGTTGCTGTTGCTGCGTCTGTTGCCCGGGCTGGTACGCGTTATAGATTGGAGTTTGCATCTGAACAAGGATTAGTATTTTTAAGGCTGCTATCCCACGTTTTAATAGCGTTGACGTCAACGTCGTGTTTGCGCAGCGTCGACGCCGGGTCGTTGCGTGACAAGTATTAACGTCCGCTGGACGCGACGTCGTACGTTAAGCATCGTTGACGTCAACTAGGTACGTCTTTGCGCAGCGTCGACGCCGCGTCGTTGCGTGACAAGTATTAACGTCGCTGGACGCGACGTCGTACTTTAGTATCGTTGACGTCAACGTCGTGTTTGCGCAGCGTCGACGCCGGGTCGTTGCGTGACAAGTATTAACGTCCGCTGGACGCGACGTCGTACGTTAAGCATCGTTGACGTCAACTAGGTACGTGTTTGCGCAGCGTCGACGCCGGGTCGTTGCGTGACAAGTATTAACGTCGCTGGACGCGACGTCGTACTTTAGTATCGTTGACGTCAACGTCGTGTTTGCGCAGCGTCGACGCCGGGTCGTTGCGTGACAAGTATTAACGTCCGCTGGACGCGACGTCGTACGTTAAGCATCGTTGACGTCAACTAGGTACGTGTTTGCGCAGCGTCGACGCCGCGTCGTTGCGTGACAAGTATTAACGTCGCTGGACGCGACGTCGTACTTTAGTATCGTTGACGTCAACGTCGTGTTTGCGCAGCGTCGACGCCGGGTCGTTGCGTGACAAGTATTAACGTCCGCTGGACGCGACGTCATACCTTTAGTATCGTCGACGTCAACGCTAATAATACGTCTTGTGGTATAGCAGCCTAAATATTAATATAATCTAGATTATCTTAATCACTACATAGTATAAAACAAAGTCTCTTTTTCGACCTGTCCCTATATCCCTATGTACGCCTAAATCTTTAAAATTACGAAACGGATTTTTTTTTTTTAAAAAGATAGAGTGTTTGCATGGATCCCGCTATCGCTTACATAAAAGTTTTTTTTTATTTATTTTTTATGATTAATTATTCATTTATGAAAAACTGCTAGACAAATAAAGATTCAAAGCAATGAACGAAAGCATAACTATACAAGTATACCTACAATATTAAGATTACATCGTTTAAAGGACAAACAATTTTGTTTTGCCAAAAGTCTACCCCATTGTGGAAAACAGTAGTACCTACCTTGAGGAAAACAGTATACTATCTATACTAATACACTAAGACCCGGTTTCTGAAAGGCTTGTCATCGCTAAAATTAACTAATCTCCTGTTAAATCTCTTGCAAGTCATCTGATTGGTTGTTGATAATTCAATCAACCAATCAGACGACTTGACAAGAGATTAAATTGATTTTAACATTGATCGGCCTTTCGGAAACCGGGTGTTATTATACTAATCATCTAATATTATAAAGCTGTAGAGTTTGTTTGTTTGAACGCGCTAATCACCAGAACTTCTGGTTCAAATTGAATAATTCTTTTGTGTTTATTAGTACATTTATCGAGGAAGGCTTTAGGCTATAAAACATCACGCTACGATTTGTAAGAGCCGAGCAGCGAGTGTAACCGCGTGTCAGAGCTAGTATTGACCATGTGTAGTATAGTTACCGTATCATCCCAAGCCCGGTTGGGGTCCCACTCCTGGCTGGGGTCCCACGCTGGAGGGGGCTCGGCGTTGTAAGCTGCATTGTCATACGCGCCGCCTGGATTGTAAGTTGCTAAGACAAAGAAACGTGATTTATTATAAAGCTAATATTGAGTAAGTAACGTGTTGGAGAGCCATGCTTCGGCACGAATGGGTCGGCTCGACAGGAGTGATACCACGGCCTTACAGAAAATCGGCGTGAAACAACACAGCGTTGTGTTTCGCCGTGTGTGTGAGGTTACCGGAGTCCCAATTCTTCCCCTCCCTCAATCTCTAAACCCCAAAAGGTCGACGACGGACTCGTAACTCCTCTGTTTTTGCAGGTGTTGCGCTGATGGCCTACCATCAGGTAACATGTCAGCTCGTTTACCGTGCAAATGAAACACATTCTAAACTAATAAGTATCTGTCGAGTGCTCGAGTTCGGGTGGAACAAAGGCGATGAAAGAATTCCACTCAGTATATGTATATTAAAGTAAAATTACGACTAAAAACCTGACGGACAAGCCCGTCATTGCCTTACGTTCATAAAAGCAACGTTAACAAAACTTCAAAATCTACCTATACATATAAAAATGAATCGCTAAATGTGTTGATAAGCGCGTAACTCAACAACGCCTGAACCAATTTTGCCAATTCTTTTTTTTATGTTTGTTGTTGTCAAGAGAAAGTTGTTACGAAAGATAATTTTAGAATAGTAGAGAGGAGATCGATTGGAAATTTTGTCGTTAGCGAGATATTATTTCATATTTCATATTTATTTATTTGCATACCATAATGTTACAAAGATGTAAAGAGCTTAAATTTAGGTACATATTATGGACCCTGATAGCAAAAGAAGGTATACATAAGTTTAATAACATTACATATAATTAGGTACAATAATAGGTATTTATATCAAATTATTTATACATATATTAATTAATAATTAGACTATCTTTTTATCGTCCAGATATTCATTGACGCTATAGTAGCATTTGCTTAGAAGGAGTTTTTTTAGTTTGTTGGCAAATAAATGTGTTTTTTTTTCGTTTCTCAGTGTTTCGGGTAGTTTATTGTAAATTTTTATAGACATGACTAGTGGGCTTGATGAGTGTATTTGTAATCGGGATGATGGTAAGTTTAGGCGTGTTTTGTGTCAAAGTGTGTATTTTGTCTGTATGTCCTCACGTGTAGTGTAAAAATTTTTGTGTTTGTGTGTAAATTACAGATTTCCAGTATGTATAATGATAACGTATAATTGGACACCCACGCAATGTTGGTAAGCTTTTATTTTATCATTACATGTATCGCAGTCCATTTTCTTAATATTAAACTAGCGGTCGTCTGCGGCTCCGCCTGCTTGGATATCGATTTAATACTTTTACAAGATATTTTTTAATTTTCTCTACGCACAAACCTTTCAGGACTTCTACGAATAATTAAAGACCAAAATTTGCCAAATCGGTAAAGGCAATGTTGAGTCATAACATTACAACGAAAAGTGGCATTGGCTTTTATACATACATATAGATAAATAAACATTATTTGCGGTTTTTTTTATGTGATAGGTCGGCAAACGAGCAAACGAATTTCCTGATGGTAAGCAATCAGCGTCGCCCATGGACACCGCAACGGAGGAGGAGTTACGAGTGCGTTGTCGACCTTTTGGGGATTAGGGATTTGGAGATTTTGGGAAAGGGAACGGATTGGGGTAGGGAAAGGATTGGGCCTCCGGCAACCTTAAATAAATGCATTAATTTCTCAATAAATGCGTGTTAATTAAAAAACACTTACGTGATTCTTGAAGTGGTGTCTCCTTGGTCTGTCCGTCCATTTGTGCGTAAGTAGTGTCTCCTGCTGCTGCGGGGGCTGGGGGCTGGCCACCAGCACTCCTAAGTTGTAACAAAACGAAATAATACTTATTCATAAAGTAATAATAGAAGAACAACAGAAATATCTCGTTATTAGACTGTTTTAAGATACTTACACGCGGTTTCTGAAAGGCTTGTCAACGCTAAAATTAACTAATCTCCTGTCAAATCTCTTGTCAAGTCATCTGATTGGTTGTTGATAATTCAGTCAACCAATCAGATGACTTGACAAGAGATTAAATTGATTTTAACATTGATCGACCTTTTGGAAACCGGGGTTTAGTTTCATCTTATAAACAATATAAATAATATACTCAAGAAGATAATGTAAAAAGTAATGACATTTCAAACAATGGTCCCACAACCGGCGCCAATATCAATTTGGCGCCCAACATGGGACCACATATAAGGATTGATGACCACATGAGGATAGCTTTTATTAAGTTTAAATATTTAATCCTTATCAAATAATACATGCACATGTATTGTCTTAACCAAGTCCCTAGTTTGGGTAGGCAGAGCCAATGGATACCAAATGACTAGATTTTCCCCATGCTGCAATCATTAATCCTGTGTATGCATGCCCGTCAATCGAGTTTGCTTTAACATAGGCATTTTTTTAATATTATCAAGTAAATTTTTAATACTAACCTGTAAGTAACTAAAGCGGCTTGCTCTTCTCTGGTGGGTAACTTGAATGGAAGTGGGAGTGTCATCGCCCAGCGCTCCAGTGTAGTGTTGAATCGTAAAGCGACGCAGTACACCGCGTACATTATCAACATGAACAGTGCTTCTGGCCTATGAGAAATAGTAAAAGATTCTTGTAAAAGGCAAAATCTATGAAATAGGTTAACATTTGTAAACTTAACTATTATGTTTTCGGCTAACTCACGTAATGTTTTGACAAGATACTCGACTAGTTTCAAGCTATGCTAGAGGCTTATATTCATGAGCAGCATTCCGCGACACGCGACTCGGCGACTGTCGCTACTGAGTAGCAGTGTGACAGTGGGCCTCTAGCATAGCTTAACTAGCCGAGTATCTCGTCAAATCATGACGTGAGTAAGTCAACATTATAATTAATTTAGAATGTCTCACGAAAGTTATAATAAACATTTGTAAACTTTTATAAAAATTGTATGCCTGAAGGTTCAAATCATTGGCAAGTGCTCACTACCATGCATCAGAAGCAGCAGCAGCAGCTAATGTTTTTTCTCACAAGGATAAGGTTTGAGCATTAATCACCAGGCTTGCTCAAGACCTTTTTTTTTAAACCATTGTTTCTCTTAACTTCTGTGTCGTGGTTGAGTTTACGAGCAAAAAATTTTACAAACACATCCCAACCACACCTGTAACAACAACTTGTAAATCACACAAATAGTTGTTCCGTGAGGGAATCGAACCCACGACACGTTGCGCTGCAGGCACCGCGTTAACCCGTGTAGTCAAAGAAATTAAAAAGGTCCAGGTTTCCTCACGATGTTTACCTTCACCGTATGTAAATCGCAGTAGTCATAGAAAGTACATATAATTCGAAAAAAGTCACATTAGTACTTGTCACGTTTCGACCCTCATGCATGAGGAGCCTTAATCTCCGGGCCACAACGAGTATCGACGCTTGAGGGTTACAAATTAAGAAAAAAAGACAGGAAAGCTATACGTACCAGGAAACGATGGAGTTGGCGATGGTACAGAGCATGACAAGTATGGAGATTGCATAGAAGAAGCAGTCGCGGCAGAGTGGCCACCAGTTCAGGTGGGACACAGTACCCGCGCACAGCGCACACACTGATATCACGAACATAATGTTGAACACCGCCGACCCGATTACTCCTGACACTCCTGTATAGAAAATACCAATCAATATTGAAAGAAGAAAGAAAGAAAAACCATTTATTAACACAAAAGACGCTAAAGCAACAGAACAAACCAGTGAAACTAAGGACGGCACAAACATATAAACATTTAAATACGCTGCAGTTGCGTCACCCTGCGAAAAAGGAACAGCGCTCAGCATATATGCTGTGCCTCGTGCACGCAGGCACGAGACAACAGCGCTGGTTTTCAGCGCTGACCCGCGAAATATTATATTGTGTGTCTGTCATCATCATCAGCCTATAAGTGCCCACTGCTGAGCATAGGCCTCTTCTCATACGGAGAAGGTTAGAGCATTAATCACCACGCTTGCTCAATGCGGGTTGGCGACTTCAAACTTATAATTAGAAACTATAAGTCCAGGCTCCCTCAGGATGTCTACCTTCACCATATGTCAGTGGTGTCTAAATAATCATAGAAAGTACATATAACTCGGAAAAGTCACAGTGAGTTTCGAACCCACACCCTCATGCTTGAGAAGCGAGCTCCTTAACCTCCGAGCTACCACGACATAGTGTGTCTGTAGTATAACGCAAAGTAGCAATGGGCAGGCCATATCGCTCGAAGGGCGGACGCCTGATGGAGCCGAAAAGTACTCGAGTGGCGACCTAGGACCGGAAAACGTAGCGTGAGCAGGCTTCCCTTCCTCATAAGAGTCGCGGGGAGCCAATGGATGTAGGTGGCAACTTGTAGTTCGACGTGGGGACTAAGGGGGTGGCCATTGTCCAGCAGTGGACGTTTTCCGGTCGATGATGATGTACATGATGAACAATGATGTTCTCTTGTAAAAGCCTGGGCGTGGCATATAATTTTATTGCAGTTTTTAATATTCTATTTTTTTTATGTTTTTCGCAATCAGAGTTCATAGGCACTCGCAACACTCGAGGAGTTACGATTGCGTTGCCATTTTTTTGTAGATTAGGTTAGGTTTTGGAGTTTAAGGGATTGGAGAAAGCGAAAGTATTGTGTCCATAGTAATCTTAATCACACCCGGCTATCCCCTGCTTCGACATAGGCAAAATTGCCCTAATGATCAAACAATTTACTTTTTGATTTTGAAAACTTGTGGAATTACATAACTTGACCTTGTAAAAATTTACATCTTAAAAAACTCACATGTTATCACATTTATTCTCTAGTTTTAGGTTATACATTTTAGATGTTCTTATAAAGCACTTGTTGTTAGAAATATATTGAAGAGGTAAAGTATTTTAAGAATAGTAGTATGTACAAGACAGAATTACCGATATCATCCTGTGCGCAGAAGACTCCAATGACGACGGTGGCGAGTTCAGGCGCCGAGCTGCCGGCCGCCATGAACGTTGCACCGGCCACGTCAGGAGCCAATTTCAGTTCTAAACACGTTAAACAACACAATAATTATTTATTTATACCAACAATACAATCACCCAATGTTATACAAAAACTCAATAATTAAATAATAGAATGCACAAGCAATAGGGATGTCTCCTGGGTTAAAACAACAAGATTCTAATAAGTCCGTCCGTCAGTTACATTATAGAAAAATACTCGATACGTATTTTTTTATTTGTTTATACGAATAATATTGACAAAGATACAGCACATTCAAATTCAGAAGAAGGGGCTCGTGACGTCACTCTTGCGTAAAAATTTTACGAAATAATGACGTAGCGCGAACTTTCGCCGCTCTGTAACTTTGTTATTTTAAGTTTTAGAAGCAAAAGAAAAAATACGTATCTACTATTTTCTGGCGTTCTAAAAGATGGACTAATTATTATTTTTTAGTCGTCATCCCTATTGTACAAATTACAGGTGTACACGACATTAAAATAAATATGAAACTTTTTGAGACTTATACAAGAACAACTAAGCTAATAATAATAAAACACATGTTAAAGCAATAACGATGGGCACTGTTCACACTGTTTCAGTAGGGAGAGATGATGTAGTCACCATCATTGGAAATCACCATCTTTTGTATTCGCTATGTGCGAAGTGGGTGGTGGGGAACGGCAAATCGATCGAAGCGCACGACGTGGCAGAAACGTGAATTAATTCTGGACTGTCATGTGTCAAATTGCTTTATTTTCATAACTTCCTTTATAGTTTTATGTAAAAACGTAAAAATTTGCGATATGGGTCATAGTACATGCTGTGTCGTAAATTATAAAAGCAACGGGAAACACACAACAGTTCGTGCAAATTTTATTCGTTTCCAACATCAAAGTGGACATTACAGCAAAGACAAAAATGGATAGCTGCTGTGAAGGGAATTAAAATTAAAATCCCGTACGTATTATAATATCCATATTTTTCACGAGGAAGAAAATCGTTAGGTATAATATACACACTCACTTTTTACACTATTTTTTTCAATTTCGTTGAAATACTAGTCGAAAATCAATATCTTATCATCTAGTTGTCATGATTTGACAGATGACAAGTCCTCAATAGTTGCGGCCACTAGGGGCGCTGTTAGCGCGCACACAAAGAATGTATGATGTAATAGGAGGCAAACGAGCTGACGGAGGGGTGCATGCCAGAAGACCTCCCCGTGGTGCACCCTGGGTGAGGGCGACAGTCTCCCTAACGGGATGGTGACAGGGTTGGTTTGACTGTCGCCCGCAGCGAACTTCTGGCCGGGCGGAGAACCCGGTCGGGTTCTAGAGGCGACCGGCTCTATGCTGTCATAGGGTCTAAGCCTCCGTGGGTGCGTTCCTCCGCACGACTCTCTGGACCTAGCAGAGAGCGGGGCGGAGAAACAAGGGCGGCGCTCGTTGTGCACTCACCCTGCCAATGAGTAGCATCGGGGCACTAGCTGCGCCCGACTGCACCCGTCGATATCGTAATCCGGGAAGAGATCATGGTCATGTTTTATGACTCGGACCGGGACGAGGGTCTTGGCTTAACCGCCCGGACCGCGAGGAAGATAACCTCTATAAAAAATTCCTCCAATACTAAGTTCTGGTGCGCGGCGAGGGTATGTATGGCTGAGGAGTAGGATCAGTCGTGAGCGCACCCCCAGCTAGGGGACCGGTGGACCCCCTAGTTGGGAGACAAATGCACACTTACCCAGGGACTGGGGGCTCTCCCTGGGCGGACCTCTTATTTCCCCCATACTCGTGGGACCAATATGGAAGACACAAAAATCAAAAAAAATAAAAATCCACCTACCGGTGAGGAGAAGGCAAGCGAGGTCAGTTCGCTTGGAGGCGATAGCGAGGGCCAGGTTGGCTCTCGGGTTCGTGGGGAGGCGCTGGCCCCGTCCAGCAAGTCTCGGGCACGGGCCCCGGGGAGGAAGGAGTCGGACTCAGAGTCCGACTCATCATTGTCTGGCGTCAGCATCGCGCTGCGCCACAAAAGAGACCGGGGCGTTTTTAAACGTCCCAGGTTGGAGGATGGTCGAGAGCCGTCCTCCATCGAGCAGGAGGCCCCAGCCCCCAAAATCCCCACGGCTGCGCGGGGTAGGGGCAAGGGGAAGGGCTCCACAAGAGCGGCTGGGAGCCGCTCTGAGCCGGCAGAGCGGCTGGCAGCGGAGGGGAGCGCCCTGGGAAAGGCTGCCCCCTCGGACTCCTCGGAGATGGAGGTGTCCGGAGGTGAGGATTCTGTAGGCGGCGCTGAGAGCCTCCGCCTCCAGGTTAAGGAAGCACTCCGCATGCTGGCTGGGCAAAAAACCCAGGCTGGCAGGAACGGAGTGCTTAAGCACGCGGAGGCCGCTATAATGTCGGCGGTATCCCAGCAGGGCTCAGCAGAGCGGCAGATGACCGCTCTGCAAAAAGAGATGGCCGGAATGAGGCGCGAGCTGGCCCGATTAGCGGCTGCGAACTCTGCCCTGGAGGCGGAACTTCGTGCAGCAAAGGCGGAACTCGCCGCTGCTCGCACGGGTCGTCCCCAACCCTCGCAGCCAGTGGAGGCCGACCTTCTTGGCCTCATGCGGCAGGAGATGGCCGCCTTCCAGCAGCGTTTCGACGCTCTGGAGGGTAGGCTCCTTCGACCCCCGCTCGCAACTGGCACTTATGCAGCCGCGGCAGCGAAGACGAAGCAACCACCTAGCCGCGGCGTCAGAGCTGACGCTCCGGTGGAGAAAAGGGCGAAAGTGCCCCCTGCGGCGAAAGCACCGAGAGCCCCGCCGCTGACGAGGACGCCCATAGCTCAACCGGCACCGGCTCCTGCTGTGCCTCTGGCACCAAATAGCCGCAAGCGATGAGGCGCAGCAGCTGAAATTCCAGCCGTTGCGGCCCCAACCCCGCTATCAGAGCTGCGCACCGATGGCGACGAGTGGCAGGTGGCCGGGCAGGCGAGAAGGAGCGCCAAAGAGGCGAGAAAGCGCCGCAAGAAGGAGCAGCGGCAGCGGCGGCAGCAGCGACGCAAAGAGAAGCGCGCTGCGGCAATGCTCCTCACCCCTAAATCTTCGGCTGTAGTTATCACGCTACAGCCGGACGCGGCTAAGAAGGGGGTGACATACGGCGACGTCCTCGCCAAATTGAAGGGGACGGTTACTCCCGCGGAGTTCGGGGCCCCTAACGGGTTCGCGGTAAGGGTCACCGCGACTGGAGCCCGTCTTCTGGAGGTCCCCGGCGCGGCCAGCGGCCCATCCGCTGACGCCCTTGCCGAGAGGCTCAGGACGTGCCTTGCGGCGGATGAGGCTCGCGTGTCCAGGCCCACCAAATGCTTGGAGCTACGCATCATGGGCCTGGATGACTCCGTGACGGAGAACGAGGTGGCGGCCGCTGTCGCAAGGACGGGGGGGTGCCCTGCTGATCAGGTGAAGGCAGGCACCATCCGCCCGGACAATACGGGGCTGCGGACCGTGGTAGTGAGCTGCCCCGTCACAGCGGCCAAAAAACTGTCGGAGGGCAAAAGGCTCCTGGTGGGCTGGGTTTCGGCGCAGGTGAAGCTGCTGGAACCCCGACCTTTGAGGTGCTTCCGCTGCCTCATTGGTCATCATGTGGGTGCCAAATGCACCTCAGAGGTGGACCGCAGCGACCGCTGCTTCCGCTGCGGTCAGCCCGGTCACAGGGCCGGCGCTTGTACCGCCCCGCCGCACTGCGTAGTATGTGCGGCGGCTGGCAAGCCGGCCGATCACCGGGCTGGGGGCAAAACCTGCTCCCCCCCCACCAAGCCCAGGAGCAAAGGTAGGCCCTTAGCCACCTCCATCGCTCCCACCGTCGCTCCCGCTGCCGCCGCAGTCGCCAACACCCCTGCGACTGCTGCTGTCGCCGCTGCCGTCAGAGAGGAGGTCGTGATGGATACCCAAAATGGCTCCATTACGCCTCCTCCAGGCGAACATCAACCACTGCGTCGCTGCTCAGGATCTCCTGCTCCAGAGCATGGCGCAGTGGTCGATCAATGTTGCTGTGGTCTCCGAGCCGTACTTCGTTCCAGCCAGGGAACACTGGGTGTCAGACCTGGACGGCTCGGTGACCATCATCTCGTCGGCCGTCGCCGGTACCCCAACTCCCGAAGGGCCTCAGCGAGGCAGGGGTTGCGTCGCGGCTCGGTTCGGAGAGATCGCCGTGGTGGGCGTGTACTTCTCTCCGAACCGAACTCTCGTCGAGTTCCACAACTCCCTCAGGGAGTTAGTCACCGTCGTCGTCGGGTTCCGTCCCCTCCCCGTGTTGGTCCTCGGGGACTTCAATGCCAAGAATTTGGCTTGGGGTTCCCGGCTCACTGATGTCCGGGGAAGGATGGTCGAAGACTGGGCTCTGGAGACAGGCCTAGTCGTGCTGAACCGGGGTTCTGTCCCCACGTGCGTACGGATGCGGGGCGAGTCAGTGGTGGACATTTCGTTTGCTAGCCCCGCTCTGTCATCGCGCGTTGTTGACTGGCGCGTCATGGAGGAGGTGGAGACGTTTTCGGACCACCGGTATATACGGTTCGACGTCTCCGCCGAGTCCGCAGACCCGCCAGTCAGACAGGCCCCGTGTGGCCCGCGTTGGGCGCTTAGGCAACTGGACCGGGAGCTTTTCCTGGAAGCCGCAGTCGTGCAGGCCTGGGTGATACCACCGGTCAGGCCAGCCGACATTAACGAGGAGGCGAGATGGCTCCAGGACGCCATGTCAAGGATGTGCGACGTGGCGATGCCCCGGATCCGACCGTGCCAACGCAAGCGCCAGGTGTATTGGTGGTCGCAGGAATTGGCAGACCTGCGCGGTGAGTGCACCGCAGCGCGACGCCGATACACCAGGCACCGCAGGCTCCGTCTCCGCCCTCTGGACGCTGAAACCAGAGAGGCGGAGCTATACGAGGAGTACAGGGCGGCGAAGGCCACCCTCAGGGTGGAGATCCGGCGGGCCAAAGATCGGGCCCGCGAGGAGATGTTGGAGACTCTGAACAGAGACCCGTGGGGACGCCCCTACCGGATGGTGCGTGATAAGCTCCGCACCTGGGCGCCCCCACTGACTCAGAGTCTCCGGCCGGAGGTCGTGGACGAAGTGGTTGGGGCGCTATTCCCCCGACCACAGACGGGTTACACGCCTCCGGCTATGCCCCCGCCCCCTGCGGTGCCCAATGCGGGCTACATCGACGACGACGACGAATCCGCTCCGGAAGTGACCGAGGTAGATTTGAGAGTGGCGGTGCGCCGGCTGAGCGGCAAGAATACCGCCCCAGGACCTGACGGGCTGCATGCCAAGGTCTGGGTCCTGGCCTCGGAGACTCTCAGGCCTCGACTACTTGGTCTGTTCAGCGCATGTTTGGAGAGAGGCCAGTTTCCGCTGTCGTGGAAGACGGGTAAACTGGTCCTCGTGAAGAAGCCGGGGCGTCCTGCGGACTCCCCGTCCGCGTACCGGCCCATTGTGCTGCTCGACGAGGTGGGAAAGCTGTTCGAGAGGATAATCTCAGACCGCCTCGTCGGGCACCTGTCTGGAAGGGGGCCGGATTTAGCGGACGGCCAGTTCGGCTTCCGCAGAGGGCGCTCCACGGTGGACGCCATCATGCGCGTGAGGGACCTCACGACGGGGACAGCGTTGGCCGGGAGGCGAGTCTTCGTGGCGGTGTCTCTGGACATCGCCAACGCCTTTAACTCGTTGCCCTGGAGCTGCATTTTGGAGGCACTCCGGTATCACCGGGTGCCTGCCTATCTCCGTCGTGTAGTCGAGGCTTACTTGACGGACAGATGCGTCATCTACCCCGGTCACCGCGGCGTGTGAAATCGGCGAGAGGTGTCGCGCGGTGTCCCACAGGGATCGGTCCTGGGACCTCTCCTGTAAAACATCGGGTACGATTGGGTGCTACGCACCGACCTCCCGAGCGGCGTCAGCATTGTCTGTTATGCTGACGACACGCTGGTGCTGGCGAACGGGAGGTCACATCAGGCGGCGGCCGACCTGATGTCACAAGCGGTTGCGACAGTCGTTGCAAGGATCCGGCAGTTGGGACTCGAGGTGGCGCTCCACAAGTCCGAGGCCATGTGCTTCTATGGCCGTCGGAGCGCGCCACCTCCAGGTGGGTCCCAAATAACGGCAGGAGGAGTTACCATCGGCGTCGAGTCGGCGATGAAGTACCTGGGTCTCGTCCTCGACAGCCGATGGAACTTCACGGAGCATTTTCGTCGTTTGGCCCCTAAGTTGGAACGGTCTGGGGCCTCGCTCAAGCGGCTCCCTCCCAACCTCGGGGGGCCAAACGCCTCCTGCCGGAGGTTGTATATGGGGATTGTGCGATCCATGGCCCTCTACGGTGCCCCTGTGTGGGCGCCGGACTTGAAGCGGCGGCCGGCTCGTACGCTGGTCGCGTCCCAGAGGGTCATGGCTATACGAGTAATCCGCGGGTATCGCACGATCTCCGGGGAGGCGGCGAACCTCCTTGCCGGATCACCGCCGTGGGATCTAGAAGCGAAGGCGCTCGCGCGCGTCTACAGTTTGCGCGCAGACGCGCGTCGCCGGGGCGAAGATCCTCTGCCGCGCCAAATAAGTGCGTGGCGGAATGAGCTCCGGCGAGATCTCATGGCAGAGTGGAGACAACGACTGTCGCAACCGAGGGCCGGGCACGCTACCATAGCAGCGGTAAGACCCCTCTTTGAGGAGTGGCTTGAGAGACGCCACGGCGTCCTCACCTTCCGTCTGACGCAGGTGCTTACCGGGCACGGCAGCTTCGGTAGGTTCCTGTTTCGGATTAAGCGGGAGGAAACGCCCGAGTGTCGTCATTGTGAGGACCACCTAGAGGATACGGTGGAGCATACGGTAGCGGTATGCCCTGCCTGGGCTGAGCACCGCCGTATCCTCAGGGAAGTGATCGGCGGCGGCGACCTCTCGCGCCCGGCCTTAGTCGAGGCCATGGTGCGGAGTGAGAGGAACTGGGACGCCGTCTCCTCCTTTTGTGAAGCAGTCATGCTCGCAAAGAGAGAGGCGGCCCGCGTGAGGGAGCAATCCTCCTCCTCACGCCCCAGCAGCCGCAACTGGCGACACTACGGGCGTCGGGGATCGAGGGACGATCTCCGGCCACCGTAAGTACGGGCCTGCGGTCGGCGAGTAAGGGCAGCTCGCCGCCCGACCAGAACCAGGCCCGAGCGTACGGCGCGTAGCGTTCCGCGCGCGCCTCAAAGAGCCATTCGACCACCACAGACGGGGCCCTAAAGGGCTGATGTTCAGCCGGGGTTGCGGGGTAAGCGCAATGAGGTACCGCGACCTCGGCACAGAGCAGGAGAAGGAACAAGGGGGTTTTTAGTCAGTAAGAGTCTGACACTCCCTCCTGCCCGGCCCTGGGCGGGAGAAGTCATTTGATGATTTTCCCCACACAAAAAAAAAAAAAAAAAAAAAACGAGCTGACGGACCGTCTGATGGTAAGTGATCGGCGCCGTCCATGGACACTTGCAATAGCAGAGGAGACACAGGCGCCTTTCTTTCCTTTTTAGTAGGAGTACGCGAGTTTTTAAGTGCTTTCTTCCTTTACATTGATTATGCGATTGTTTTAAGTTCAGAATAATTTCTTCTCCTGCTTAAGGTCCTGAATCCTACCTTAGTTTTCCATAGCAAAAATTTTAAAATATAGGATAAACACCCCAATTATGGACAGTTCAAGAGAAAAAATAGTGGTATTTGTGAAATTTTACCAATATCATAAAAGTTTCAGTACTGAAAATGCCTAAAGTTTAAATTTAATTATTTTTCGTCCATTACTGGGTGGGCCTTGTCCATTACTGATGCGTTTACCCTAATATAATTCGTTAAATACTTGAAACGTCAAAATAGAATTATTAGTCTGTCAGTCTATTCGTCAGTGAAGCTAGGAACTACATTAAAAGCGTAAATTCGAATGGAGAAAATGAGCAGAATACTACATCGTTGTTAGTCTTTTAATTCACCAAACCCCAGGCAAACGCCGGCATTCGCGCACCTTTTGTTCTTTCATTGAGTCTCGAATTACCACAATTGAAAGGTTATATATAAATGTTTTAGCAGAACAAAACTGAAAGGGATTCATTGTTTAAGGACTTTAAACTAAATGTCTTAGATCTTGGACTTATCCAGAGTATTCTGGCGAACCCTAAATCCAATATTGCTAAAAGGTTGTGTGGTTTAGTTCCGAGGCTTAAGCAATGAATAACTGTTGTATTTATAGTTAGGTTTCTGTATACCTTTATGTAGAACCTAGGCAAGTTATGATTGCATGTAATAGTATTAGGTAAAATCTAAATAATATGTCGTAGTTATAAGGTACAATGGGGTTGACGTATCCGTGTGGATAAAAACGCCGTATACCCATGTCAGAATAAAAAAAAAAATGTTTTAGCAAGTGAATTATCGACATTAGGTATACCTTCACAGATCCTGTCGAGACTTGACACGAAGTACTCGTCACAAACGATTGCCAGTCCAATGAACGTGAAGACAGCTACCAGGATGTGGATGATCAAACCTCCATGCTTGCGAGCTGACTGGCCCATCAGTGGTTTTGGGAACTAAAAAAAAATGATTAGTTTGGTAAATAGCGTAGTAAAGGAAAAAGCGTGGGCTGCATCGTCGCTTTAGAACTGATTTTTAAATGGTTAGATAAAAGTTATCGGGGAAATAATCATGATGCTGTCGCGCCAGAATGTTTTTATAAGACATTGACAGCAAAAATTTCATTCCTCATATAACATTTATCTGACTATTGAAAAATCAGCCCTTAATCATGTATCAGACAATACGAAGGCCGTTTCTGAAGTAAAAAAAAACACACACACAGACGTCTTCATCAACAGCTCGTCGGAGTTTACTACTGAAAAAAAGATAGTCTATATATATTGTGGAAAAGGTACATAGAATACAAATAAAAGAGAAAAATAAAAAGCCACCAAAGCGCAAAAGCCAACGTTTGTTGTACAAGAACAAGGTTAAATTAAACTTGAGAAGATAAGTAAAAAATCAAATACACAAATAGTGCTCATTCTAATCATCAGCCTATAAGTGCCCACTGCTGACCAAAGGCCTCTTCTCATACAGAGAAGGTTAGAGCATTAATCACCACGCTTGCTGAATGCGGATTGGCGATTTCAAACTTAAAATTAGGATTATTATAAGTCCAGGTTACCTCACGATGTTAACCTTCACCGTATGTCAGTGGTGTCTAAATAATCATAGAATGTATAACTCGGAAAAAGTCACATTGGTACTTGCCAGGTTTCGAACCCACGCATGCATGAGAAGCGGGCTCCTTAACCCCCGGGCTACCACGACTCCATTTTATATAATATTTATTCTAATCAATTATATTAAAATACCTGTTCGATGGCTGGTGGCGAGCAGTTGACCCGCAAAGGTTTTACAGTGGGGTTCGATTTCCAGTTTGATCTCTCCTCCTCACGCATCTCCTCCGTTTCACTGTCCTGAAAGGAGAAACCATACATTTAGTTTTTAATGGGATAGGTCGGCAACTCAACACAAGAATCGTTTCACAACGGTATTCTGTAAGGCTGTCCTAAAACTCCGGTCAAGCCGGCCCATTTGTGCCGAAGCATGGCACTTCCACAAAGTTTTAATAAACAACTGCTTATTATTTTAATAAAAATTGTTAAGAGTAACTACTCTCACTCGGTTTCACCCGCTGCTCGGCTCCATTTGAACGTAGCGTGATGTCTTATAGCCTATAGCACACAGGAACGTTGTAGCTATCTATTAGTGAAAGAATTTTGGAAATCTGACCAGCGGTTCCAAAGATTACCCCCTACGTACAAACTTACAAATTTTAACTCTTTATAATATTAGTATAGGTATAGATTAAATTTTTCCTAAAGTTACTGCTTGTTGGTAACACAACATTACTTTTTTGTATTGGTATACACATGTACATATATTATCTTTATATTTATAATTCTGCTGTACGTGTGTTGGAATTGAACTCCTAAACGGCTTGACCGATTTAAATGAATTTTTCTGAATGCGTTTGCGTGGCTCCCTGGATAATTTAAATTCACAAATCAGCCCGGCAGATGGCGTTGATTGCTTGAAAAAGCATGAGATCTCGGAAATGACTCTAAAGATTGCGCTGAAATTTGATGTGTGGGGTTTTCGGAGAGGGTCCGCTACTAATAATATAAAGAGATAAAATGTGTCAGTTTGTATGTAGGGGGTTATATTTGGAACTGACTGTCGAATTTTACTGATATATAGCTATTGTGTTCCTGAGTGCTTTAGGCTAGAAATTATATTTGATTCGCGTATTTTAGTCGAGCTATCGCTTTAGACGCTGCTGTTTTTTCAATGCGAGGATGCATTTCTTTTGTGCTCGTGAAAAGCCGCGGGCTGAAGCTAGTTAAGTATAGAGTCTGTTTAAAATATGTGTTGGTATTGGTACCACTGCTTCCGTAACCACTACTGCAAGAATATAAGTCTTTTATACCTCACTGACCTTTTTAATTAAATGACCAGCCCCTATAAAGTATATTCTAGAAGTTTCTTTTCACTGTTACTTTTTTTTTGTATGTAATAGACCGGCAATGAGCAGACGGATTACCTGATGGTAAGCAATCAGTGCCGCCCATGGACACCCGCAACGGAGGAGTTACGAGTGCGTTGCCGATCTCTTAGGGATTAGTGTTTTGGAGATTTAGGGATTGAGGAGGGAATGGCACAACGCTGTGGTTTTTTCACGCTGGTTTTCTGTGAGGCCGTGGTATCATCGATCGAGCCGAACCATTCGTGCCGAAGCATGGCTACTTCACACTTCAACAATTACCTTTTTTTCTTGACTATTTTTAACTTCTTAGGGTTATCAACTTTGTCTTATACGTTCACCGTACAGGCGTTTAGGAATGTAAGAAAAATAATGAAGGTATACCCGTACCTCAACATAACCGGCATCTTTCTGGTCTTTCTTGTCTACGTCGTCATCTTCTTCGAGCCCCTTCATCCCCTTCTTGCCGCCTGCCGGAGGTCCTTCTTCTTCTTCTTCAGTCTTCTTCTCCGATGGTGGAGTATTAGGGGCCGAAGAGAGCGGGGTCTCATCTGAAAACGAATAATTGTTCATTTATTTTAAGGTTTGCGCATATGCATAGTAGAAAGCCGATAATGTAAATAATCTATCTACATAGCCTGGCCATAAATACTGTTACAATTAAAAATAAACAAAATATTACATTTGAATTTGGAATCTGTTATTTTATATAATTTTTCATTGTGTTTTCTTATTTTGGCGCCAATAAATTGTTCAATATTTTGCGGTATTAAAATGGAGTGGGCTGATAAAGAGAACCGAATCGGTGTGATTGCATTACACAAAGTGCTGTCCTGCTCTGGGCCAAGGTCGCGGTGCCTCATTGCACTTACCCCGCAACCCTGGCTGACACGCACCCAGACCTGGAACAACAATTTGTGGATCACACAAAGTGTTGTTCCGTGCGGGAATCGGACCCGCGACACGTTGTGCGGCAGCCAGTTGGCTAGCTAACGCGCCAACCAGTCGTGTATGGAGCGAGCCTGCTGATTAATGGCCAAACCTTCTCCGTGTGAAAAGAGGCCTTTGCTCAACAGTGAGCACTTATAGGTTAATGATGTGATTATTTATGCTCTTACCAATAGTAGTTCCAAGTTTCGCAGTAACTTCAGGCTTATTGGTAGGTCCGATGGGAAGGTCTTCAGCTGGTTTGTCGATGGGTTCCGAGGCGTTCGAGGGGCTGTAGATAGCTTGGAACACGGAGTATGCTATGAAGAATACTGACACCGTCAGCCATCGATGTCGACGAGGACTTCTCATCCTCTGAAAAGACGGAAAATGATATGATTAGTTACTGTAGCAAGAGCCATGTTGGCAAAATAAGCGCGATTATGTATCGCGGCCTGGGTCAGGAGCAGAGGAAGGAACATGGAGTTTTTAGCAAGAGTCTTGACACTTACGTCTCACCGTACTCTGGGCGAGAGAGGTCATACACTGATGATTCTCCCATTCATTTTTTAAATTAATAATTAAAACGCTGATATCTTTTTCTAGATCAACGCTATTTTATTGATATATAGTTGCAACATGCTAGTTGAAAGCCTTCGAAATGTTTCTATTATTTTACAGCGCCATCTACATATCGGAACCTGATATGATTATTGTTTCGTGATCAAAGTATCATCAGACCACCCTAGATGGAGCCAATGTCGGGGTTGTGGGATAAGCGCAATGAGTAGCAGAAGGAACGGAGACGTTTTAAGTCAGTAAGAGTCTGACATTCCCGCAAATTCTCCCGCCGATTCGATGTCTGGCCAAGCGCCATGAGATGCCGTGGCGTGGCTCGTAGCAGGTGGTTTACAAGTGTGGGAAAGCCATGCTTCGGCACGAATGGGTCTACTCGACAGGAGTGATATGGTCACTATGGTCTCACAAACAACCGACGTGAAACAACCACAGCGTTGTGTTTCGCCGTGTAAGTGAGGTTACTAGAGGCCCAATCCTTGCCCTCCCCAAATCTCTACCCAGTCTTTAAATCTCTAAATTCTCTAATCTCCAAAAGGTCGGCAACGCACTAATAAATCATCTGTTGTTGCGAATACCTGATAAGCAATCTGATTGCTTACCATCAGGTATTCGGTCTGTTCATTCCAAAAAAATGAAGGAAAAGGGATCATTAGAATCGAGTTGCTGACAGAGTTAGGAGAACTACGACCTTAGATATTATCTTTCTGATTGCGAATTATTTTTAATCGAAATGTAAATGTATGTAGCTTTCTGATTGGTTGGTCAATTTGAAGCAGTCCAATCAGAGCGCCGCACACCATAAACTTGTCGATCGTCTTAACGTAAAGCAAACTCACACTTAGAAATAAATAAATTAATAAACGATGGTTGCCCGGAGATTTTGATGATGGATGATGTGATGATGAAACGATACCATTTTCTAAACTGGCTAGTCTGGTATGATTGTTTTTTAACGATATACAGACAGTATCTAACTACGGCATGCCCCTGACATATACGAAGACGAAGATAGACCTGCATACATCATTTGCTTCTTCCACGGTTACGCATCCAGTTATACTGCTTCGCAAATATCCTTGCCATTTGATACTTAAATTCAAAATATTATCTATATAGCAACACTAAGTACCACGAAAATATCCTTTTGAAATCACACGTACGCGTCGATATTAGAATGACATGACGTTTCAATTTTTTAACACTACAATGAAAAGGACGAAGGCAATTCCTCATTCAGCCAGCATAAAACCTTTTTATTGATATTACATCAGAATCGTCGCTAACAGCAGGCGGTAAGGCACTCGCTTTTAACGATAAAAATCATAATTTTATTATATCTGTTCGTAAAAATGTAAACGTAATAAATTTTGTGAGTTTATCGAGTGGCAAATTATCTGCTTTTATGTTGTATATAGATTTTATTGGGTAAATAAATATAAAGGTCAGGAGGCAGTTTGGGTAAATTGGCTTCAGGGTATAATAGGTTTCGACGTGCTGGAGGGTAGGCTCCTCCGACCTCCACTCGCAGCCGGGTCGTATGCTGCCGCAGCGGCTAAGCCCAAGCCGCCAACCAACCGTGGGGCACAAGTCAGCGCAACGGTAAAAAAGGGAGCGAAAGCGCCGCCAGCCTCGACACCGATGAGGGCGTCTGAGTCTCCCTCGGCGCTAGCTTCTGCGCCGATGAGCCGGAGACCAAGGGGAGCAGCGGTTGGAGCTCCAGCCGGATCGGCACCTACTCAGTCGTCTGAGTTGCGTGCTGATAGCGAGTGGCAAGTGGCGGGGGAAGTGAGGAAGGTCGCCAAGGAGAGGAGGAAGCTCCGGAAGAAGGAGCAGCGGCAGCGGCGACAGCAGCGGCGCAAGGAGAAGCGCGCTGCGGCAATGCTCCTCGCCCCAAAATCTTCGGCTGTAGTTATCACACTACAGCCGGACGCGGCAAAAAAGGGGGTGACGTATGGCGAGGTCCTCGCCAAATTGAAGGGGGCGGTAACTCCCGCGGAGTTTGGGGCACCCGACGGGTTCGCAGTGAGGGTCACTGCCACTGGAGCCCGTCTCTTGGAGGTCCCCGGCGCGGCCAGCGGCCCGTCCGCTGACGCCTTTGCCGAGAGGCTCAGGGCGTGCATTGCGGCGGACGAAGCTCGCGTGTCCAGGCCCACCAAATGCCTGGAGCTACGCATCATGGGCCTGGACGACTCCGTGACGGAGAATGAGGTGGCGGCCGCTGTCGCAAGGACGGGGGGGTGCCCTGCTGACCAGGTGAAGGCAGGCACTATCCGCCCGGACAATACGGGGCTGCGGACTGTGGTGGTCAGCTGCCCCGTCACAGTGGCCAAAAAGCTGGCAGAGGGCAAAAGGCTCCTGGTGGGCTGGGTTTCAGCGCAGGTGAAGCTGCTGGAACCCCGACCTTTGAGGTGTTTCCGCTGCCTCGTGGGTCACCACGTGGGTGCCAAGTGCACCTCAGAGGTGGACCGCAGCGACCGCTGCTTCCGCTGCGGTCAGCCCGGTCACAGGGCCGGCGCTTGTACCGCCCCACCGCACTGCGTAGTGTGTGCGGCGGCTGGCAAGCCGGCCGATCACCGGGCTGGGGGCAAAACCTGCTCCCCCCCACCAAGCCCAGGAGCAAAGGTACGCCCTTAGCCACCTCCACCGCTCCCACCGTCGCTCCCGCTGCCGCCGCAGTCGCAAATACTACTGCGACTGCTGCTGTCGCCGCTGCCGTCAGAGAGGAGGTCGTGATGGATACCCAATAATGGCTCCATTACGCCTCCTCCAGGCGAACATCAACCACTGCGTCGCTGCTCAGGATCTCCTGCTCCAGAGCATGGCGCAGTGGTCGATCAATGTTGCTGTGGTCTCCGAGCCGTACTTCGTTCCAGCCAGGGAACACTGGGTGTCAGACCTGGACGGCTCGGTGACCATCATCTCGTCGGCCGCCGCCGGTACCCCAACCCCCGAAGGGCCTCAGCGAGGCAGGGGTTGCGTCGCGGCTCGGTTCGGAGAGATCGCTGTGGTGGGCGTGTACTTCTCTCCGAACCGAACTCTCGTCGAGTTCCACAACTCCCTCAGGGTATTAGTCACCGTCGTCGTCGGGTTCCGTCCCCACGTGCGTACGGATGCGGGGCGAGTCAGTGGTGGACATTTCGTTTGCTAGCCCCGCTCTGTCATCGCGCGTTGTCGACTGGCGCGTCATGGAGGAGGTGGAGACGTTTTCGGACCACCGGTATATACGGTTCGACGTTTCCGCCGAGTCCGCAGACCCGCCAGTCAGGCCCCGTGTGGCCCGCGTTGGGCGCTTAGGCAACTGGACCGGGAGACCGGATACCACCGGTCAGGCCAGCCGACATTAACGAGGAGGCGAGATGGCTCCAGGACGCCATGTCAAGGATGTGCGACGTGGCGATGCCCCGGATCCGGCCGTGCCAACGCAAGCGCCAGGTGTATTGGTGGTCGCAGGAATTGGCAGACCTGCGCGGTGAGTGCACCGCAGCGCGACGCCGATACACCAGGCACCGCAGGCTCCGTCTCCGCCCTCTGGACGCTGAAACCAGAGAGGCGGGGCTATACCAGGAGTACAGGGCGGCGAAGGCCACCCTCAGGGTGGAGATCCGGCGGGCCAAAGATCGGGCCCGCGAGGAGATGTTGGAGACTCTGAACAGAGACCCGTGGGGACGCCCCTACCGGATGGTGCGTGATAAGCTCCGCACCTGGGCGCCCCCACTGACTCAGAGTCTCCGACCGGAGGTCGTGGACGAAGTGGTTGGGGCGCTATTCCCCCGACCACAGATGGGTTACACGCCTCCGGCTATGTCAATGCAATGCGGGCTACAACGACGACGACGATGAATCCGCTCCGGAAGTGACCGAGGTAGATTTGAGAGTGGCGGTGCGCCGGCTGAGCGGCAAGAATACCGCCCCAGGACCTGACGGGCTGCATGCCAAGGTTTGGGTCCTGGCCTCGGAGGCTCTCAGGCCTCGACTACTTGGTCTGTTCAGCGCATGTTTGGAGAGAGGCCAGTTTCCGCTGTCGTGGAAGACGGGTAAACTGGTCCTCGTGAAGAAGCCGGGGCGTCCTGCGGACTCTCCGTCCGCGTACCGGCCCATTGTGCTGCTCGACGAGGTGGGAAAGCTGTTCGAGAGGATAATCTCAGACCGCCTCGTCGGGCACCTGTCTGGAAGGGGGCCGGATTTAGCGGACGGCCAGTTCGGCTTCCGCAGAGGGCGCTCCACGGTGGACGCCATCATGCGCGTGAGGGACCTCACGACGGGGACAGCGTTGGCCAGGAGGCGAGTCGTCGTGGCGGTGTCTCTGGACATCGCCAACGCCTTCAACTCGTTGCCCTGGAGCTGCATTTTGGAGGCACTCCGGTATCACCGGGTGCCTGCCAATCTCCGTCGTGTAGTCGAGGCTTACTTGACGGACAGATGCGTCATCTACCCCGGTCACCGGGGCGTGTGGAATCGGCGAGAGGTGTCGCGCGGTGTCCCACAGGGATCGGTCCTGGGACCTCTCCTGTGGAACATCGGGTACGATTGGGTGCTACGCACCGACCTCCCGAGCGGCGTCAGCATTGTCTGTTATGCTGACGACACGCTGGTGCTGGCGAACGGGAGGTCGCATCAGGCGGCGGCCGACCTGATGTCACAAGCGGTTGCGACAGTCGTTGCAAGGATCCGGCAGCTGGGACTCGAGGTGGCGCTCCACAAGTCCGAGGCCATGTGTTTCTATGGCCGTCGGAGCGCGCCACCTCCAGGTGGGTCCCAAATAACGGCAGGAGGAGTTACCATCGGCGTCGAGTCGGCGATGAAGTACCTGGGTCTCGTCCTCGACAGCCGATGGAACTTCACGGAGCATTTTCGTCGTTTGGCCCCTAAGTTAGAACGGTCTGGGGCCGCGCTCAAGCGGCTCCTTCCCAACCTCGGGGGGCCAAACGCCTCCTGCCGGAGGTTGTATATGGGGATTGTGCGCTCCATGGCCCTCTACGGTGCCCCTGTGTGGGCGCCGGACTTGAAGCGGCGGCCGGCTCGTACGCTGGTCGCGTCCCAGAGGGTCATGGCTATCCGAGTAATCCGTGGGTATCGCACGATCTCCGGGGAGGTGGCGAACCTCCTTGCCGGATCACCGCCGTGGGATCTAGAAGCGAAGGCGCTCGCGCGCGTCTACAGTTTGCGCGCAGACGCGCGTCGCCGGGGCGAAGATCCTCTGCCGCGCCAAATTAGTGCGTGGCGGAATGAGCTCCGGCGAGATCTCATGGCAGAGTGGAAACAACGACTGTCGCAACCGAGGGCCGGGCACGCTACCATAGCAGCGGTAAGACCCCTCTTTGAGGAGTGGCTTGAGAGACGCCACGGCGTCCTCACCTTCCGTCTGACGCAGGTGCTTACCGGGCACGGCAGCTTCGGTAGGTTCCTGTTTCGGATTCAGCGGGAGGAAACGCCCGAGTGTCGTCATTGTGAGGACCACCTAGAGGATACGGTGGAGCATACGGTAGCGGTATGCCCTGCCTGGGCTGAGCACCGCCGTATCCTCAGGGAAGTGATCGGCGGCGGCGACCTCTCGCGCCCGGCCTTAGTCGAGGCCATGGTGCGGAGTGAGAGGAACTGGGAC